TGTCATTGGAGATGTGGCTAGTGTCCATTGGTAGGGCTCAACGTCGGAATACCTTGATGTGGCAGCTCTCGCATCAAGTAAATTATGCCTGAATAAAGACTCAATATTTGGATGCACCATCAACGAGAAGCTCAGCCGATTGGGCCTCAGCAATCAATACGAGTCAGCCTGAGCAGCTTTCAACGAGCTTATCACTGCTGATGCACTAAATCGTCTCTGACAATGAGGAGAAGTATTTATCTCAGACAAGGCCCAGCTCTCTGTGAATTTTGGGCTTTCACTCTCTCATGACCAAAGAAAACTTGGATACCACACCCAACCGATTCGACAGCCACAGTCCAGACAGAATGCCCAAATCAACAAGCAATGTCACGCTGGACGCATATGGCAGCAACGGATACAGGGCGCCAGACCGCTGAGAGAGCTGCAACGCTTCGGTGCCTGACCGAGAAGCCCGTTGTAAGCACATGCAGGAAACCTCGCATCGCAGGTGCCCGCTCTGCAAGGGCTATGTCCATGTGGGAGGGTTTTACACACACGCGTCCATCAAGCACGCAAATGAGGATTGGAACGAACACCAAGTTGCCTTCACCGATAGGCAGGACTTGAAAAGTGCAAAGTCGTGGGCGGTGCCGAAAGAGTTAAAGAATGAAGATTGATGGTTGGAGTATGATAATGGAAGGCTGGGCAGTACGAGTTCACGAAGTTAATGAGCTGGGTTTTTGTAACATTTGATCCATGAATTTCGTCGTACGGAGAGAAGATCGAGACGGGATTGAATTGAATTTTGAGAGGATCTATTATCGATTGAGTCAATAATTTAGACTTGCATGGATACGAGCTACTTTAACATCTCAGCCAACATCGAATGAATAGTGCGGATCTTGACTACATTTCCACTAAGAAACAATTCTCCTACTTACCCATGAATGACCTTCCACCATGCGGACATGATTTGGATGCCTGAATGAAAGAAGGCACGGCTTAGTCCAGTGTCAACGGGTGTCTCTCGAAGTATTCGTCGAGAGTCGTGAGCTTGCCTCTAGCTCTGCCTGCCGCCCAGGAGACCAGCTTCTCCGTTTCAGGCCCAAAATAGCCCCCGTAATCCTGCATAAATAGGAAGAACTCGCTGAAGGCGTCTCCTGCCACAGGAAGGCTTTTGGCAAACTTTTCAGCCGACAGCTGTTTGTAAACGACCTTCTTTCCAGTCGTCTTAGATAGTGCAGCCGCGATTTCATCCAGACTATACAGTGCTTGGGCCGCAGAGAAGGTCTTCCCTTCATATTCGTCAGGGTTGGCGAGAATGGTTCCAATCCATTTTCCGGTATCCTCAGTTGCGTCAAAGTAGGGCAACTTGGTACTTGGCGAGCAGGACCGAGAAAGAACCCACGTGCCGTCAGTCCCTGGCTGCGGTCCCAGGAAGGAGTGCTGATGGAAATTCTCCATGAAGAACCCTCCAGCAAAGAAGGCACTCTTGATGTTGAGCCCACGGACATAATTCTCAGCCTTGGCCTTGGCGTCAAAGAAGGTGATCTTGGTGCATTTTCCGCCAGACAGCTGGCTAATGCTGGGAAGGGTGCTGTAGATGAGATATGTAGCACCTTGCTGAACTGCAGCATCCGCGATGGCCTTGACGTTGTTGAATTCGTCTTCCTCGTGACTGGAGCCAAAACTAGGAGGTGTCATGATGAAGACGGTGTGGGCTCCAGCGAGTGCTGGGCCCAGGGATTTCTCGTCGGACATGTCTCCGTAGACGACCTCAACCTTGTCCTTGAGCTGCTTGGCCTTGCCCGAGTTGACATCGCGAGTGATAGCTCGGATTCGGTATTCTGCAGAGAGTTCATGATCATTCAGAACATTATTGATGACAGAACTTCCTTGGTGACCGGTGGCACCGAAAACGACAAGAATCTTGGGCATGGTAGATGGACAGTTGGGGGTAGAAGAGGAAGAATGATAGGATTTGAGCTTGATGTTCGTTTCGAAAAGAGAGGATAATGGCGAGCAATTTATAGTTGGGCTCCGGGCAAGAAACCGGGCCTGATGGCTGAGCCAAAACGTGAGCTTTGCTCCGGTAATATAGTGCGCCGTCCGTGGGATGACTCCGTGGGCCGCTCCGTGGGCGGACCCGTACCGTGGCCGGTTGCCCCGAGTTGCCATAGCGAAGAGAATAAGACTACATTATTCACACTTATTCCCGTGAAAACCGAAAAAAGGTTTACATCTACGGATGCTAGCAAGGTTGGCGACTTTGTCGCGGTAGACTTTGTATTGCGAATGGAAGTAGAGCAGATTAGCTAAGGTGACGTAAATTAATTAGAAATTGAAGCCTCATTAGAAGGTAGAAGTAACGGATACTATTGACATTTAGGGTTCGTGTTCATTGTGCTTAGATGAGACACTGGATGCCTTATTTCTTAGCCCGTTGCTATCACCGAAGAAAGGAGTATGGAATATGCTGGTATATATTTCCTGGCATACCGAATGCAATAGGCTGCTAAGAATGTATCTGACCATCAGCAGAAATGAATCATCATTGAATCAACGGATTAGGCTCCAATACAGCCCATCAGTTGATTGGAGGGTCAGCCCGGGTACTTGTTACGACCCGATAAAGCGGGGATGATCTTACCAAAACAAGCTGACGCTCGGCCATCCTCCTCAAAGTATCTCCATTAGCTCAAACCATCGTTTAGGTGAGATTACAATGGCCAGCATGGGGTGATCATTGCTCCAATGCAACAACCATAGAACTTTCTGGACGAGTCTTGCATCTCGTGGAATCTCTAGATGAATGAGTATAAAGACTCGCGGTGATGTCTGGTGTTGGAACAGAAATCAGACACAATTTCATCACTTCAAAACACTAACATACCAACCAATATTCCCATCTTGCCCAATTTCATCATCAAAATGACTACCTCTGGATTCGGAACCCTTCCCTCTGGCGTGAGCCTCGATATCAAGCCTTTCCACGCCCATGTTGAAGAGGCGAAGCTGCAGCAATTCAAGAAGCTCCTAGAGCTGTCGCCAATTGCCCCCGCTGCGTTCGAAAACACCAACGCAGGCACAAAGTTTGGACTCAAAAGAGACTGGCTTGAAAATGCCAAGGATGTCTGGCTGAATTCTTTCGACTGGCGCAAGGTTGAAGATCGTTTCAACTCATTCCCCAACTTCAAGGCTCCGGTCAAGGATGGCAATGGTCATGAAATCGAAATCCAGTTCTTGGCTCTCTTTTCCAAGAAGCCGGATGCTGTCCCCTTGACATTTCTTCACGGTTGGCCTGGATCCATCTGCGAGTTCTTGGATATTCTCGATCTTCTCAAGAGCAAGTACTCCCCAGATGACCTCCCTTATCATGTCATTGTTCCATCGCTCCCTGGCTATGGCTATTCTTCTGGGCCACCACTCGACGCTGATTACGGAATCGAGACGGCAGCTGGGGCGATCCATAACCTCATGGTCGGACTGGGTTTCGGTTCTGGGTATATTGCTCAGGGCGGCGATCTTGGCAGCTTCTTCTGCAGGGTGCTGGCTCTCAAGTATGACGCCTGCAAAGGCATCCATTTGAACCAGATGCCATTGCCTCCACTTCCCGCTGGCGAGCTCCCGACAGATCCTCTCCAGATTAGGGCGCTGGAAAGGGGCAAGGAGATGGTCGAAACCGGGCTTGCATTCTTGATGGAGCATGGTACTCGGGCGGCTACAATAGGATTTGTGTTAAGTGCTAGCCCACTAGCACTACTCTCCTGGTAAGATAGTCAGTCCCCTTAACATCGGTTATCTACATGCCTACTAACATCGTAGTAGGATTGGAGAAAAGGTCCTTGCGTGGACTGATCAAGATCTTCCTCTGGGCAAGATTCTCGAATGTGTCACATTCTATTGGTTTACGGATACGATGGCCCGATGCCTGTACCATAACCGCGATGTAAGTACTACCGTATACCCGTTACTGGTTGATCTAGGCTAATTTGTTATATTCAGATGGGGCTTCCCGATGAAAAGCCAAGAATTGCGAGGACCAGTGTAGTAAGTTGCAGACCAAATCACCCCTTTCAAGAAACAGAAAGCAGGAACTGACTTCTCAACACTCAGATGACTGGTCTCATTTCTCCAGGAGTGCCGTATATCGGAAAGCCATGCGGATACTCTGCATTCTATAATGAGATCGTCCCTGTGCCTAAGGAATGGGCCGCCAAAACCACCAATGTCGTGTCATTCAACGAACATGATCGTGGTGGCCATTTCGCTGTGAGTAATCCTACCCCCAATTTTTGATTCATGATGCTAACTTTGTGTAGGCCATGGAAATGCCCAAGGAACTCCTCTCCGACGTCGAAGAGTACATCCAGAAAGTTTGGAAATAGCGGCTCATAAGCGAGTTCGCCTAGCGTACCAGTGGCACCTCTGGTTCGAGATTTCGAAGCACGGTGGTACAACTTACACAACTGCCTTATCCTTACCTGGTGGCTATCTTCAGGCCAAAGGCGGGAGTACCTTTAACGATGTTGAAAGCTTACTTGCAGCTTGAAGAAGCGGGATTGGTGAAGGTGATTTTGAAGCTGGGGGCTGCTTAGGAAAGGATGTTGAGGGTGTTAGGAAGTTATCGATAACGGAACTGATGTATCTTGGCCTGGTCTGGATGTGTGAGTTAGACTGTCATGAGTGAACCCTTGTGGTAACTCTACCATCTCGGCGAGGCAATCTCTTCCTATGTTACGTGTAAAACCGGGGGATTGGGTATATTCAATGAGGAAAATGTGCGATACACAGCTGTTCAAAGGCAAAGTGTTTATTTGACTGGCCTATGCTTGATAAATAAAGGGTCGGCCTGCAGGGGAGGTTATTGCCTTAAAACAACACAACAGACAATCACAAGAGATTTAGTAGACACACATTGATAACCCACATAAGCAACTGTTATTAGTCTATCAGTCTGGATCCAACAGCGGATCTACATCACTGAGGAATAATATCTGACCCTCCTGCCAAGTAACTCATGCATCATTCTCACGAACAGCTCCTGAAGTAGCGGCAGCATCCCTGAATGCTTGTAGAAGATGAAGCTCGTGTCGATAGGCGTATTGGAGACAAATGCCCACCAAGACAGGAGCATCTAGCGGTAATCTCATGCTTTCGTTGAACTGCGCCCACGATCTGCTAGTAGCCTCTCTAGTCTGTGGATTCTCGCTGACCGTGTCTGCCGCTGCATAGACGTGTTCCAAATTCTGGGCCTGTACGTAGAAAAGGTGCCGAGGGTCTCTGCCTTGCGGGTCACGCAGACGTTGGGGCTGGGGCATTCGACGTGCCACTTCCTCTCCTAGCTTCAGCAAGAACTTGGCCTCGATAGATATGACGTTGTTGTTGACTAGTAAGAAAGGTCTGTGGTATCTAAGAAGCCTGTGATAGAGACTTAGTTGGGTTCGGGCTGTGATGCGACCACCTGTACCGCCCACAGGCCGTGTGTCACCACCTGATTTGTCCATGTCCACACTCAGTAAGTTCAAGACAGGACATTGAACCCCGGTTTCCCTTAGTAGCGCGGAGATGCTCCAGACTGGGTTCTCGAGAGACTCAAATGCGACGGCAAATTGTAGTGACAGCCTGAGAAACGCGCCATTCCCCCGTGAAGCGAAGAATGGGTGTAGCACGAGGTCATTAAGGCCATTTACAAAATCAAGCCCCCAAAGAGGCGGCGCTATCATGTCTGCGGCCTGTTGTTCTTGCCCAGTTTCTCCCCATCTGCCAGGACAGCAGAGGCCGCGATGGGGTGACATGAGCCATAGCGGAGTTTCTCGGTAAACCACAATGCTGCTTTTCCAAAGCTTGCAGACCGCCGCCAGGAGAGTAGGATTCAGCCCGTTGAAGAGCGCCTGGCATTTCCGCAAAGATTCAGACACTTCTGGGCGCTCATCGTAGCGGGCCTTTACGTCGGGTGTAATGGTGGGAATTTGAGTTGGCCGGAGAAGACTTGGAAGATCGACTAGATCTATTATGGGGGCTTCTGCGAGGACTTGGTCGAGTGTTCTGGTCATGGTATCACTTGTTTCCGTCGGCAGTGTTTTGATGTTGTTATTGTGATGGTGAGCCGCATATGGATGCAGAAGCTTAATGTCAAGAACAAGTGGCTATGAGGCGAGGACACAGTGGAAGGTGCCTCTTGCCACACAGAATAATCAAAAGAGAGAAAGAAGCTGTTGACAACCACGGAGAGATCAGCCGCTACTGAAACCCAACCGAACCTTCCTCTAGAGACTAGTTCTCTCAATCACAACGACAGTGATCGCTTACGGCGAAATCTTCAGGCACATCTGACGATATCTCGTGGCAAGGAATCCATACACGATACAGTTGAAGATGTTTCAAGCCCAACTATCCAAATCAAAGATACCCGGAAAGGCAATCAACTCGTCAGTGCTCATTCCGGCAGTCTCCACGCCAGTCTCGTCCCCAACATACATTTGGCCCGCCGCGAATGGAAGCTCAAATGATACTGGTGTTGGCGAGGCGTTGAGGAGCTGCCGATTCGTGGCTAGAGTTTGCTGATCTCGGCGAGCTATGGAAGGGGTTGCACGCCGAGAAATGATTTGTGGTGGTGGTTGATCATTGCCTCTCAGCCGAGGAAAGTCTTCGGTGATGATCTCCTCGATCATGCGCATGATTGGGCGGTGGACAACGAGTCGCTTCACCTGCGGAAGCTTCTCACGGATGGCTGTGGCAGACGCCTCCGAGATGCGGGTTGGCGGCCGGCTCGGCCTGTCGACTAATGGGATCTCTCGAGCAAGGAGCTCAAATACATCTCGAAGACAGTCAGCCCTGGGCCATCGATCTGTCATTATGGCCAGTATATTCGAACATGCCCGAAGGGCATCAGAGACGTCAGGGGAGTCATAATTCTCAGTGCGATATTCTGGAGGCGTGGCCCAGCAACAGTAAAGCAGAGTTACCCCAGACTGGAATTGTACCAAAAGCTGCTCCCGAGGTTAGAAAAAACAATCATTCATGGAGCCAGAGGTAAACTCACTCCTACCCAGCCTTGGGCAATCTGGCGGTCCATTTGGCTCTTACGAAAGGCAAGACTCGCTTGGCTGCTGGCTTGTATCGACCAGTCTCCAGCAGCCCCGAGCACCGTCTCTTTGGTAGGGCGGTACAATGTGAGGAGGGTGTAGTGATATATCATGGCAAGCCACCGATGAGAAGTATGTCCTTTAGACAGCGGGTCGGAAAAGTTCTGCACACGAGACTTATAGGTCTCGAGTTCGCTTAAGATACGTATTCGCCACTCTGTGGCCTGTTCGTAACGCTCTTTATAGTCCCATCGCAGAGTATATCCAGAGATTTCCGACTGAATCCTGCGACACTGGAGAATATGCAAAGCCGAAGATACGCAGGTATATGTGGGCGAATCTGGCAATTCGTTTTCAGCCGGGGTTTGCGCAGCTATAGCCTCTAGGTCTTCATCGCTTATGTTAGAATACAACTTGGTCGTGATCATCAAGTCCGAGATAGATGGGGGTAATTCGAAGGACGCCACGATCATTCGGTCCAAACAATATGCGGACCAGAAGCATCGGCGTCGGAGCTGGTTCTGTAGTCGAATTTCGGGAGTAGTCGGTACAGTTTCTGCCTCGTCAAGATGGAACTGATTCTGGATACAATAACGCATCGTCGTCGATACAATGGATAGAATACGCGGGGTAGAGCTTCTGTGTAGCGCGTGTGCACTAAGCAGCAAGTAAGCTTGAGCGTGTAAAATAGGTGAATGTTGACGAAAGACATGAGGCAACAAGGAGATGCCGTTCTTATAGAAGGTTCTGGCGTCCGTCCCGATCCTCGGGAGGGCGAGGACTAGAAGCGCAGTTGAGTAGACGAGATTGGCAAAGAAGCCTTGCCAGGACTGGGCCTCTCTGTCGGCAGGTGAGCAGGTCTTCCAGTCTTCCAGCCATGACAAGAATGTGTCCCAGTGGAGAAACGGATACGTGGCCTGGATGCGTCCGCGGTATGCGCCTAGAAGCATATCTTCCACCTCCTGGGGCATGGCAGCGATGAATACTTGAGGGAGGAAGTCTCCTTCGCGGAACGAGGCGGCCGGAAAGCCCGGCGACTTGCCAGGGCCGTTGTGACCGTCATCTCGCACCGACGGAGATGTCACAAGGCCGTAGATGAGATGGCCGAGGTCCTCATCCGAGTCATCGTCTCCCGTGAGAGAGAAGGCATCGCCAGGCGACCGGTGGATATGAGTTCGTCGCGTCTGCGAATGGTTGACAGGAGACAGTGAATGTGCATCGCCACCAGAAGCTGAAAAGTCCACAGCTTCGGATCGTCTCCTCTGGCCAGCCGCCTCATGGTGCGTCAACACCGGTCGCCCGTTTGCGCTGTGCGCGCTGCTCTGCGTGAGCCGACGAAGAGGCGGAGGCGGTGTTTGTCCCCCATTTCCATTTCCAATGCCGTTGACAAGGATGGAGTTGGCGACTAGATGATCCTGACTCTGATGGGGGTCCCGAGCTTCAAGCTCCGCGATTCTTTCCTCCAGCGCCCTGACATATTCGGGCTCTGAATTGGACCGTGGCGCGGGAGCTGTTGGAACGCATTCGTCCCCCGATTTGACGCAATTCGTGCAGGGCCGGTTCCCCTCACACTTTTGCTTGCGGTTTCGGCATCGCCTGGAGGTTGACGTGAGGATGAGTGAGAGCAGTGAGACTGGGTTGAGAGATCCCATTTACCTGCAAGCGAGGACTCGCTGTTTCTTCGCGGGAGGCTCGTCAGAAGACGACCGTTCGTGATCCATCGAGGCTGATGGTACACATTCTATCACCAAGATGTACGAAGCGCACACCTAGTCTAGCAGCAGGCAGAGGAGCGGGGTGAGACAATCCAATCGCTGCATAAGAATCACCGCCGCGACGGTTAATGACGAAACGGAGGGCAGAAGGACTTGTCATGTCAGTAGCAAGGATTGGGGAGTGGGAAACGCGGGGGAGATGGCGCACACCACCCACTCACCTTTGCTTGGAGCCCTGTTGTGGATATTGACACCCGCTATTTCTTGGAATGGGCAAGCCGTATCTGACTTGGGTTTGGGGCCATTCTTGGCCCAAGACGATGCTGATAAGGGAATGGTTTTGGACATAGAAACCAGGGGGGCGAGACCACCGAGTCCCAAGATTATCTTCCGATGTCGGCTAACACAATAAACAGCATGATATCAGGTCAATGGCAAGTACATACGGTTATTATGAAGATTATTATGTGATTATTGGAACCAGTCGAAGAAGACCAAGCTTCTGGGACACATGCTTAGTTTACGTCGTGGTGTCTCATGTTTTAATGTCACCCACTTGCTAGCTCATGTGCTTATCAACTGTCTCCGAATTAGCTCCATATGCCCCAGTCAGCCTGGCAGATGAATCGTTCTTCATTGGAGGTGCCCACTGATTCAACGTTTCTTATCTCTTGTGTTACTCCTCATATAACACCCCATGATATCACTATGCCATAGTACTTCGTCCAGTGCCTATATAATGCCATTCTGATATACATCTACTGCTTCTCCACAATCTTCTCTCCAGCTACAGTCTCGTAGAACGAGTCTAACAGATACCCGCCACACCAGCTCAGCTTCTCAAAGCCGTCCGCCATGGGAGACCGTGCTAAAGCCGGCGTTTGAACCTCTCTCACATATCCGCCGATGGCCTCAGACGCCCACAGCTTGGCAAAGTCATCCGTCGCCATCAACAAGCCCTGCAAGCTCCAGATCGGCTGGACCTGCCACACGATTCCCATCTTGGCCATGTCCAAGTGCAGCGTCTTGACCTGCTCAGGCGAGAAGCCTGCCTTTCCAAAGTCGTAGTCGCCAGTATAGCCAAAAGCGAAGAGACGATCAGGATGTACCTTTCGCACCGCCGTGTGGAATTCGACAATGTCATCCCAATTGGGTGCATCCATTCTCGCCCAGGTCACGTCGCCAAGAGGGGCTACGGCGAGCGCGCGCTCGATGATGGCCTTGACGCACGACTTGAAGAAGTACTGGCCCATTGCGGACCTGGGAATGTCCCAATCAAAGAAGACAGCTTGTTTTACTGTCCTCGCGGCAATCTCACGGCGAGAAGTGAGCGAGCGAAATTGGGTCTGTCTGACCTCAGTAATATAAGCGTCGTATTCGCTGTCTGTGGCGACATCCTTGACGGCCTCGTCAAACGTCCGCAGAACAGCTCTGGACTTCCAATCATTTCGGGCAGCTTTGAGATCTTCGCCATTGGCCTGGGCCTTAGCAAGACATTCCTTCAGAGGCTCAACGCTCTTGGTGGCTCCCTGCACGTACTCGTGATCTCTCTCGTCAATCACGCTGGTGATAAACTCAGAGTGGTCAGTGTCGCACCGCGTAAGCAGCAGCGTCTCTGCACCCATGATATCAAATTGCATGCGCACTGCTGCGAGCCGGTCGATGTATTCGCTCGTAGGTACGACGGTGCGACCTTGTCCAATGGTGAACTTCTTCATGCCAATAGCGAGGTCATCGAGATGGATCATGGCTACTCCAGCGTCTACAAACTCCTTGGCCATCTTCATAGTCGAAGTAAGTGACCCAAAGCCCTAGCAGTGTCGTTAGCATTGGAGAATACTGAGGCGCTGACGAGGCAAACCGGGTAGATGGCTTATACATACCATATCGCCATCCGCGACAATGGGAGCGAGGTAGTCCCAATTCTCCAGATTGGCGCGATCCTTTTGTGAGTGGCGTAGTCGGAACTGGCGCTGTCTCTGATCGTGCCATTGTTGTGATTTGGATATCTTGCTTACAACCTTGGGGACAGTATCCCAAGGATAATCACATGCGTCCATGCCAGGCACAGAGACCTCGGAGAAGCCACATAAAGCACCAGAGACGTAGACAGTCTGGCTGTGCTTCGCCATCTGAGTAACCACAGTGGGATCAGTGGTACCAAATGTCAATTCTGTTGTTCCATTCTTCCTATGCTCGTGCAACAAATTCCACAGCTTAACAGCTTGGGAAGATGAGGCAGGGTTGGTGGTATCAATTGAAGTTCGTAGTGCTGCGATTGTCTGGGCAGTATAAGGCCTTGGGTGGTTTTGTTAGGATGGATTTCAATGCGGTGCTTTATGATATGAACGTCGATGAGTAGCTTACCTTTTCAGATGTGCCTGTCTAGGGGAGCTCCATTGCTTCTCAATGGCTGCTACATCAGCTTCAAACTGGCGCTGCTCGTCCTCGAGCGAGATGTTGATCTTAGGCATGTTGAAATTGTAGTTGTTGGAGTGTAAAGGGGGAGGTGGTGAAGTAAATGATGGTTAATATTTTGAGAGCTACAAAAACAACTTGCAGGAAGTATTCAATGAATAAGAGTCAGCAAGAGCTCTCTTTAAGCTACGGTAAGCTGTTGGATCAGAGGATATCGTATCGGATTGACCCCCCATCAAGGTTGAATTGGGGAATAACCCACGACCTCACAAATACCTCCACACCACTGGGGCTAGACTTTGAACCTTGCAGAATGGGGAGCAAGTCCGACAGATTACAAGGCGGGCTCGATACTCCGGTGCGGAGAGATTGCATGACGCCTCCACATTTCATCCCTGATACCGGTGGCTAATCCTGACATATGTCCATCGATCATTGCAACAACCACGGATCATGTTATCCAAAGATGATTTATTACAATCCATCGGGGTAGCTCAAAGTCCGACGAGTTTGTCCGATCAACCACAGTGCGTAGGAGAATCAAAGTCCTGTGATAATCAGGGCGCCAAGTCTCCTTCGTTCAGGGATTTATTGTATTTTCCCTGAAGGGCTAGTTCTCTTTTCGGGGGGCCAGCCATCTACATTCCAAGTCGAGTAAAGGTCTTAGAGCAACTCTAATCATACGAAAGCTTGAAGTCAATTTGTATTTTGCAATTTCAACGTTGCGATCTATTTCCACATTTTCAAAGCCTTGCTAGGAGTCGTCGACATGCCGGAATTTATCAATTTGCAGCTTGGCTGGCCAACCCCGTCTCTGTTTCCATCAGAGCAAGTGTTGGACGGTGCCTCAAGGATTCTCCAATCACCCAAGAAGACGGCGTCGGCCCTCATCTACGGCCCAGATGCTGGTTACGTCCCTCTCCGTGAGAACATCGCCGCCTGGCTCACCGAGTCGTACAAGCCTTCTGGCGGCACGATCAATGCTGATCGAATTTGCGTGTCTAATGGCGCATCGGCAAACCTGGGCAATATCCTGTCCAAATTTACAGAGCCAGGATACACCAGAAGGATATGGATGATCGAGCCCAGTTACTTCCTCGCCTGCCCCATCTTCACCGATTCAGGTTTCGCAGGTTGCCTGAGGGGGGTTCCCGAAGACGAGGAAGGCCTGGACATCGAGTTCCTCCGCGCTGCCATTGAAAGCGTCGAAGCAGAGCCAGATCATCCCACAGGCCCAAAATTCAAGACTGGTTCTCGGTACAAGAAGATCTACAAACACATCATCTACGCCGTTCCTACCTTTTCCAACCCCAGCGGCAAAACAATGTCTCTGCGCCGACGAGAAGATCTAGTACGTCTAGCTCGAGAATTCGACTGCCTCATAATTACAGATGATGTCTACGATGTCCTAAGATGGCCCAAGGATCCCAAGAATCCCCTTTCATCTCATTTGGGTGCTATCCCACCCCGTATCGTCGATGTTGACCGCACCCTTGACGGAGGGCCAAGCCAACCTTGGGGTAATGCTGTTAGCAATGGGTCTTTCTCTAAGATTATAGCGCCCGGCATACGCACAGGGTGGACGGAGGCAACGCCGGCGTTTGTTCTATCTCTCTCTGAACTGGGAGCGACGAGATCCGGTGGCTGTCCCACTCAGATTGCTGGTACATTTGTAGCCGAGATGATTGGCACCGGTCGTCTGCAGTCACATATTTCGGATGTCTTGATACCCACATACAGTGCACGTTACCATACTATGTTCCGCGCTATAGATGAGTACTTGGTCCCGTTGGGGTTCAAGGTGTCCACTGGGAAGCCGTATGAGGAGACCACAGCGGTCGTCAACGGCCATGGGCCTGCTGTTCCCGGAGCTGGAGGGTACTTTACATATCTGACAGTGCCTGCGGATTTGCCTGTCGACACTGGGAAGCTCGCAGCATTGGCAATGGAGAAGTATAATCTCAAGTTTGCTTTCGGAGCTATGATGGCTGTGGAAGGTGATGAAGGGAGTTTGCAACGGTCTGTGGGCGGATACGGAAATGGAATACGACTGTGCTGGGCGTGGCACCCGGAGGATGAAATCATTGAGGGCATCCAGAGACTGGCGAGCCTTGTAAAAGAGATTAAACAGTGATTAGTGACATTTCAACTGATCTTTCTAGACAGTAATACACGTGGATATTCTAATTTAAAACAATAATGTCCATTGAAATAAGCACACGAATATACGTCACGTAGGCCTGAACAATAATACTCAGTATATGGTCGATGTGTGAGGGCAACGACCTTTTCATGCAATCTCGAGTTTCTCGAGTGTAGAAATAACATCCATATTTCCTCTTTTAAAGCAATTTTATGAAAGGCTTATATTTGACTATCGATGGTGTTTAAAATCTTATTTGAACATATATGCGGTAAGGCTCCAAGTCTTACCACAACTCTTCATCTACTGCCCGTAGATTCTTCTTTTATTATGATCCATCATAGAGGCGGTGTCATCAGTCCCCCAATACCTTCAACTGCCTGTCGACCTTCCACCATGAACCTCACCACCATATCGGCAGCAACTTCAGAGTCATCTTCCCGATCCGTGTTATCCAATGCGCTTTGGAGAATCTCCGCATTCCATTTAGCCCCGAAAGTCTTCAGAGTCTCCGAGTTGATGAATCGATCAAACTCAAAGTGGCCTTGGAAAGTTAGCACGCGACCAGGCTCGTATACGCCCTGTACAGCGCATTCATCGGTGCTGCCCATTGTGATCCAAGAGCTAGGTAGATTTTCAGGGGATGGAATGTTCACGTTGTCGGAGTGGATGAATTGAAGTCGCAGGGAAGGCTGATCGTAGCAAGCCTTTCGGTAAGCCGGGCTAACTTTGATCTCGTGTACACCAATTTCCCATCCTTGTGGATTCTTTGCCACATAAGCACCGCAATCCCTCAATATACTCTGACAGATGATCTGATGACCAAAGCAACTGCCGAAAAGCCGTACTTGAGGAAAATTTTGATATACATCGAGGAGATAGGCATCCAGCTTGTGTATCCACTGATTATCATCATAAGACGAAGAAGCAGAGCCAGTCACAAGAATATTGTCGAAATCGGAGGGTGATCGAGGATACTCGCCACGCACAACATCGAAATCTTCAGACTCGATGGTAATGTGCGGTGCAACTCGTGAAGCAGCAGCAACGAGTAAGTCATGAAAAATGTTTCCATAACTTCCTCTTTTCGCAGCAACATTCGGCACAGGGGTGTCAGCGTTGAGCATAGCAATGCGTATAGTTCTCGGCAGTGCAAGCATGGTGACTGTTGTGTCTTGTTCGTTATAGTTTGTTCTGAAGAGTCGCCCGCGTTTCGCCCTGCTTGCTGAACTTGGAGGTTTGGCTCTTTGCAGAATATATGTTCCCGAAACAAGAAACAGGGTACAACGAATAATACCAAAAGCTAAGTATGCAAAATTCACAAACCCGAAAGGCCGTCAATCAATATCTAGTCAGTGGCAAGGACTTCAAGAGACATAGAAAAATGCCCGAAACCCCAAGCCTTGGACGGTTCTTAGGAACTTAGAGGAACTTAGGAGTTTCAATGACCGGGCAGGCTATTTCCCAACACATCACATCATTCAAAAACAGTATAGCGTTCGGGTTCTTGCCATCAAGTCAGTGGTTTGAGCTCCGGCATTCCGGGGCCAACGTTGCCGTAGCAAACCGCTTCATAAAACACACAAGGACTAGCAGAGAGATTCGGACTGACTCTCCGTTACTGTCGCATTCCAAGAGTCCGACTTATCCCTGTCGTGTGACCCACCTCCGGGCTGATAACCACCATGAAGAGTCATGCATTTCTCCACCCACCCCAATTCCAAGCCATCCTCACTATCTACAAGCAACAGTCTATCTCGTGCCATTGTGTCTGGCCTGTATCAATTGAGGGGAAGACAGCGTAGCCCCATGCCAGGCCCGGCCATAGTTTGGGTCGACACCACTACGCACCCACACATCCGCTCCTTGTTGCTCTCTCCTCATTTGGCCGGCCAGTCGTTCTGGATCGCCAACCCATGCATAGTTCTGATATGACATGTTAATCTAGGCTCAAGCTTGGTTTACACACTGTGACAAGCTTTAGCACAGCATCCCGGAGATAGCAACCTTGCACACCACCATAACATTTAAAACCATCCAACTCTGTATAAAGGCTGCCGACTGCAACCATCCTGCCTTCCGTTTCGAGACCGCTCTTACTCCATTGCAGTTGCCCATACACCACCAAGAACCTTTCTGATCATTCACACATTCAGACCTCACCATGGCGGACAATAGCAAAACCGCCAAGATATCCACCCTCTCACCAGGGGAGGTAGAGGACAATTCCTCCATTGCCCGTGGCAAAGTCGATCATCACACCATCACCGATACGAACAGCGACGTCGATGTCGCGGCCAAATATGCCAACATGTTCACCAATGGTGAAACCTACTCTATGGCTGAGTGGGTGAAGCTCCGGTGGAAGCTCGATCTGCGCCTTGTGCCCTTGCTGTGGTTCAACGTCACGCTTGGAGCCATGGACAAAGTTACGACGGCTACAGCTTCTTTGTATTCATTCAGAGAAGACACCGGACTATCCGGCGATCGATATAGTTGGGTTGGAAGCGCTTTCTACGTAAGAATAGCCCTGGGGAATGTTGGTTTCCATATTACACTCTACTAACATAAACAATATTTTCTAGTTCGGTTATTTGGTTTGGTGTCTTCCTAGTGGAAGCCTGCTTCAAAAGTACCCAATCGCCAAGCTCATGTGTGTTGCCCAGATTCTCTGGGGTTTGATCCTCATTGGAACTGGATTCGCAAACAACTTCGCCTCGCTGATGGCGTTACGCGTTCTCCTTGGTGCGCTCGAAGCTCCCATTGTCCCAGGAAACTTTCTGGTTCTCGGCATGTGGTATACGCGTCGCGAACAACCACTCCGTACGGGTTTGATGTACACTGGTCTTTCTGTCTGTTTCACCGGTCCCATCGGCTGGGGTATTGGCTTCCTGATGGACGACCACAAGTGGCGCTCCATGTTCTGGATTACAGGTGCCATGACAATTGTTTGGGCAGTTATCATTGGTTTCTTCCTCCCCGACAACCCGGTCAAGGCCAAGTTTGTCACCGAGCGTGAGAAGGCTATTGTCGTTGACCGCCTCCGTGCTGATCAGACGGGTGTTGAGAATAAGCAATTTAAGAAGGACCAACTCATTGAGGCACTGACTGACCCTAAGACATGGCTCATGTTCTTCTTCCACATCGTCATCTCTATTCCCAACGGTGGTCTGACCAACTTTGCCCCTCTCGTTATCAAGGGTCTTGGGTATACATCGCAACGCTCAACTTTGCTTACGATGCCCACTGGAATCATCCAAACCTTGTCTTCTTACATTTGCAACGGAGGTGTTTTCCTCTGCGCAAAGTACTTCCCCACCAAGCACTGCCGATCAGCTTGGGTTATTTTTGGCATCATTGTTGGCCTCATCTCTGCCGTATTCCTTTACACCCTGCCCCTTACAGACTACCAAGGGCGGCTGGCTGCTTTGTACATGTCCTACTTTTATCTAGGGCCTTACATTGTCAGCTTGGGTATCAACACAGCCAACACAGCCGGGCACACCAAGAAGGTCACCGTAAACGCCCTCATTTTCATCGCCTACTGTGTATCCAACATTATCGGTCCTCAGTTCTTCAAAGCTGAGCAGGCTCCTGTTTACAGCCTGGGCATGGGTGCCATTCTCGGCAGTTATGTACTCGCCATGATCATCATGATTCTCTACGCTACGTACTGCTGGTGGGAGAACCGCAGGCGAGATGCTGTTGACGAGGCGGCTGGACAGGAAGCGCATTCTGATACTGATTTCCGTGATCTCACGGATAAGCAGAACATTCATTTCAGATATGTCTGGTAAGGTCTCGGATGAAATAAGTTTCCTGGCGGATAGATGGACGGCCAGGGCTTGTCGGCGACCATAGTTGTATTGGAAGAGTGAATTATTAGTGCCTGAGCACTTTGATCTACTTCCAGTACGAAAATTTAGCTAGTAGTAATACGGATTTATTCAAATTGCACCCCGATATCCCCTCATGCCCAGTCTCTCTGAACCCACTCCCGAAAACAACCTAGTCTCAACAGAAGCAAGGCTTCCGCGGTGAACATCATTCCCCAGATTAATGCGAACTAGTGAAGTCACGCTTCCCCAGATTCTTTTCATAGGTGGCATGGGTGGGCAGCCGAATGCTTTTTGGATTCCATATAGCGATGCTAAAGGAACAGGGTAATCCCACCGGTGAGGGTCAACTTCCCCTTTTCAATATTATAACATAATACGATGCTTCATCCATGGTGTTAAAGTCATACTGCGTTTCCGTTTTTCTCTAGCTTCGTTAAGCAGCTTTGAGATGCCTGGTCAAGGTACCTAGTTATACTACCCGGTAGCTTGTCGACATATCAGCCAGACCAGTTACATTCACGCCCCGGTCTATCGAGCCTTACCTGTTTACATTGGGAAAAAGCCGTCCCAATACCACTGTGAGGCACTTTTCACTTTTTTCAATGCGCAGCCAATTGTCACACTCACAACACAGGCATCATTTACATGTATTTGATTGAACGTGCTCGTCGTTTGGCACGGGGACGAGGATTGAGTGTGGGGCAAAGTATCCATGTATCTACCCCGCTTTTTACGCTATCCGAATTAAGGCTAGCGCGTACATTTTACGTCATGAGCGGCTTGATCCCCGTCTGGACACGACTCAGACACCGAAAGGTGTTGGTCTGGTAAACACAAGGTCCCATCCTCCGACGGACCCTGCGCTTTCGGAGTTTGACTCCTATCAGCTTGACGGTTCGGCGTCAACTTACCGAAGCCTATCTCCCCCTTTGCCGCATGACTTCTGGGAACATGCGGCCGCTACAATCTTGCCTTTGATAGGCGGGTGGACCTCTATTCGTGCTTGAGTGCGGAGCGTCTCCAAGCATGTCCAGGCGGATGCCTCGGTGTCGGACAGTATGACTACTACGGGCTGAAACACCGTCCTCTTGGCTAGCGGTCGGCAAGCTTCCGAGCTACTCGCGATGGTTTTGCGGGGAGGACTGATCGATAGTACTTCATCATCACCATATGCGCATGCCATACGCACATCATCCCACAGGAGATCGCACTCAAACAATCTAATTACAACTTCCCATCGTGCGTAACGCCCATCATGCCTTTCATCAATGGGACATCATTACCAAGCCCCAAAATTCGCATTGCCATTGACAGAGGCGGCACCTTCACAGACTGTCTGGGTATTGTGCCGGGGAAGCCAGACATCCTTGTCAAGTTGTTGAGCAATGACCCGACCAACTACCCAGATGCGCCTACAGAAGGTATTCGCAGAATCCTGGAGGCCGCTACGGGTAAGAGAATTCCTCGAGGCCAGCAAATTGACACAAATGATATCGAATCCATCAAGATGGGCACGACAGTAGCCACAAATGCCCTGCTCGAGCGATCCTCAACACCATGCGCCCTCGTAGTCACGCGAGGTTTCAAGGATCTCCTGAATATTGGGGACCAGACCCGTCCCAAACTTTTTGATCTCAACATTCGCCGCCCTGAGACCTTATTCAAAGACGTTCTTGAAATAGACGAGCGTGTAACTTTATATGATTCAACCGAGGACGCAACAAGCCTGAGTGACCCAGAACGTCATTCTTTTGACTTGAGGAAAGGAGTCGGCGGCGAAGCAATCCGTATTTTACAACCTCTAGGTGAGTTTTCTATGCGGTAAATCTTTGGGAAACATTGTGAATTATTCTAACAGGCCCTTGCAGATTCTAATGGTGCCAGAAAGGGATTACAAGAGCTATACGACAAGGGTGTCAGAGCTCTTGCCGTAACTCTTCTCCATTCATACACTTTTCCAGATCATGAGCTTCAACTCTCAGAGATCGCTGCCGAGATTGGCTTCACGCAAATATCTTTGTCATCGCAGATCTTCCCTATGATCAAGGCTATTTCAAGAGGCTACTCTGCCACCGCTGATGCCTACCTGACCCCTCTAACAAAAGCCTACATTGACGGCTTCCGAAAAGGATTCGTGGGTAACCTTGAGGATGCCAACGGCGCACGCTGTGAGTTCATGCAGAGCGACGGTGGCCTGGTCGGATGGCAAAGCTTCAGCGGATTGAAGGCCATCTTGTCCGGGCCAGCAGGAGGCGTTGTGGGCTTCAGCCGAACCTGCTACGACACGGAGCGCAAGAAGCCAGTGATTGGCTTTGACATGGGTGGTACCAGTACCGATGTCTCCCGTTTTGCGGGCACGCTGGAGCATACCTTTGAGTCCATTACTGCCGGTGTTACGATCCAGTCTCCCCAATTAGAAGTCGATACCGTTGCAGCTGGTAAGCGAAAGACCTCTCAGTGATGGAATGACCAGATGGCTAACTTTCGCTCGTTTCTTTATAGGCGGTGGAAGCATTCTTTCATACAAGAACGGTCTTCTCCTCGCTGGCCCAGAGTCTGCAAGTGCGCATCCGGGCCCAGTTGCGTACCGCAAGGGGGGCCCTCTCACAGTTACAGACGCCAATCTGGTCCTTGGACGTCTCCAGGCCGCCTATTTCCCCAAGATCTTTGGCCCAGAGGAGAACGAGGCCCTCGACTACGATGGTGCAAGAGCCGCGTTTGAGAAGCTGCTCGTTCAAGTAAATGCAGATCTTGCAACCACCGGCGCTAAGACAAAAACCGTGGAGGAGCTTGCGCTGGGATTCCTCCAAGTTGCCAACGAGACCATGTGTAGACCCATTAGGTCTTTGACAGAGGCGAAAGGGTATCGTACTTCAGATCATGAGCTCGCCGTGTTCGGAGGCGCCGGTGGACAGCACGCATGTGTGAGTACCTTCGCACGCGGCTTCCAATTGCATCGAGCGCTGACATTTTGGCAAATGTAGGCCATCGCTAGCAACTTGGGGATTGATCGGATTCTGATCCACAAATACTCTTCAATTCTGTCTGCCTATGGAATGGCACTTGCTGACCTTGGTGAGTTGCTTTTCCTATTAGCAATCTCCTATTACCTGCCTGCATATACTAACTACAGTAGTTCATGATATTCAACAGCCTTGCTCAGTTGAGCTCGACGGATCTTTTGAAGAGCTAGACTTCCGACTCAAAGAGTTGGAGTCAACAGCGGCGGAGAAGCTTGTATCCGATGGGGCAGCCAGAGATTCTCTGGTCTTTGAGCATTTCCTCAATCTGCGCTACGTGGGCTCTGACACCACTTTCATGATCCCCCGCCCAGAGAATGGGACATGGGCAGAAGCCTTCACAGCCGAGCATAAGAGGCAATTTTCTTTCATCATGGCTGGACGCGGTATCATCGTTGAAAATGTTCGAGTTCGAGCCACCGCCCAGAGCCCATCCGTGGAGCCATCCTTCAATCTAGAGAAACAACTCTCGAGCTCGTCTCCCACTCTCGTCAAGGCCGACAAGGTCTCTGATACGGTCAAGATCTTCTTCGAGGGAGGCTGGACCGAAGCCCCTCTCTATTTCTTGACCTCGTTGACAAAGGGGGATATGATCCAAGGACCGGCTATCATCCTAGACAACACACAAACCATTGTGGTGAACCCAACAACCAAGGCTATCATCTTGGAACGCCATGTCGTCCTCGAGCTGGATCTCAAGGCAACTTCAAAGCCCCAGGAAGAAGTCGCCTTGGACAAGAAGAAGGTAGACCCAGTTCAGCTCACGGTGATGGCACACCGTTTCATGAGCATAGCGGAACAAATGGGACATATGTTACAGAAGACTAGTGTCTCGGTTAATATCAAGGAACGTCTTGATTTCAGTTGTGCACTCTTCAGTCCCGACGGCAGACTGGTTGCCAACGCTCCCCACGTTCCCGTTCATCTGGGCTCAATGGAACAGGCTGTCATGTACCAGCACAAGAAATACGAGGGTCAGCTCCGGCCTGGCGATGTCATTGTTGCCAATCACCCTATTTCTGGCGGCACTCACTTGCCGGACATCACCTGCGTCACACCAGTGTTTGACAACGAAGGGAGAAACATCATTTTCTATACCGCCTCTCGCGGGCACCATCAGGAAATTGGCGGTATCCTGCCCGGGTCTATGCCAGCTGGTAGCGTAGAGCTTTACGAAGAGGGTGCAGCCATCATCTCAGAGTTCCTTGTCCGTGACGGTGTCTTCGATGAAGATATGATCCGAAGGGTAATGCTCGAAGAACCAGCCAAGTATCCCGGCTGCTCCGGTACCAGGAAGCTGGCAGACAACATCAACGATCTCAAGGCCCAGGTGTCTGCAAATGCCAAGGGAGCTGCGCTTGTTTCCGAACTCATCGCAGAGCATGGTGTTGGTACAGTGCATTTTAACATGAATGCAATTACGGATAATGCCGAGGCATGTGTTCGGGACTTCCTCCTTCGCACGCACGCCGCAACCGGTGGAAAGCCTCTTTTCGCCCTAGACCATATGGATGATGGTACTCCTATCCAGCTGACTGTCACTATCGACCCCGAGACTGCCTCGGCTCATTTTGACTGGACAGGCACTGGAGAGCAAGGCTACCATTCATTCAATGCTCCGCAGGCCATTACGCGAAGCGCTACGCTCTACGTCCTTCGCTGCCTCATCAACCAAGATATTCCCCTCAATGAAGGTTGTCTGCGTCCCTTGACATTCACAATCCCGGAGGGTAGTATCCTAAACCCATCGTACGAAGCTGCAGTCTGCGCGGGTAACCCTATCACCTCCCAGCGGGTGACGGACGTCGTTATCAAGGCATTTGCTGCCTGTGCTGCAAGTCAGGGAGACTGCAACGTGGTCTCGTTTGGCATCGATGGCAACATTGATCCGGAAACAGGCAAGCTAGTCCCAGATACCGGCTTTGGTTACTGCGAGACGATCTGCGGCGGTAGTGGTGCAGGCCCCGGCTGGCATGGCACGAGCGGCGTCCATATTCACATGACGAACACTAAGATCTGCGATCCTGAGATTGTGGAGAAGCGGTATCCCATCCTGCTACGAGAGTTCAGTATTCGAGATGGCAGTGGTGGTAAAGGGCAGTGGAATGGTGGCAACGGCATCCGAAGAGTCTACGAGTTCGCGAGAGACATGGGATGCTCGATTGTAAGTGAACGACGTGTCACAAGGCCATATGGCATGAAGGGTGGTGAAGACGGAAAGTCTGGTGTCAACTACATTGTCAAGGGTGGTAATGGCGGCCGCTGGTGTAGAGTAGGTGGACGCAAGGACTTTAAGGTAGCCAAGGGTGACTGGTTCGTCATTGATACACCTGGAGGCGGTGGATGGGGCCCTCAGGCGGAAGCTGATACAGACGGCAATGCCGAAGTGCGAAATCCTGTGGAGAGAAGGTTTGTGAGCCAGTTCCAGTTGGCGCAGGAAACCAGCAACTAGGTGACCACTTGTGTTTTAAGCGACGTGGAATTTCTTCTGAGCCATAGAGAATCTAGTCTATATGAATAGAGTGCTCTCAAAGCAATCACATATGCCGTTCAAGAGTGATCCTCAGAGGTCTAAACTTCACCAACGTCCACATTCTTTTGTTTTAAGAGAGAGCCCAACTGGTCCAAGAGACATAGCGCCTTTGGCACGCATATTCCCAGCTGTTTCAAGATTGTTAGAATGACTAATCCGATAATAGTCTTTAAGGCTTCATTATACTAACAACGTTCAAAACATGGCCCGGTTTACACACGCAACCAGGCCTGCAGACAGCAGGGCAAACCCGGGGTCCTACCTCCAAACAAGTGGGTGGACAAAGGGAGGCACAATCACTGTGTACCGAGTTTATCTGTGGCAAATTGGCAAATCTCCTCGTTAGCTAAACATTCTCTAGTGACCAGCTCAACTGTTATACGTACAGCGCAAACCGGTGTTGGTGTTGGTGTTGGTACTGCAGAACTCGCGGCATCGGGTAAAGGAGTGGCAATAATCCCTGGAACAAGGATAGGCACAAAAAGGTGTAGCTTCATTTTATAGGAGATAGAGAGGTCAAAGATATTATGTGTTGGTGTTCTCCGTATTCGAAACTGCGCAAAGATGCAGCTTTGGCGGAGTAAGGGCCTGGAATATATATATTAGGCTGATGCTGATCATATCTTAAAACAGCGAATGCTATTTAGCTATTTAATAGACCGTTATTTCCATACTATATTTTATGCATTCCTGTCCGCGTTCAGAAGGGATGCGCCTTATGTGTGTGTCCTTGTCTCAGCACTGTTCGTCCCCCCTTCTGATGAATCAATTTCCAGGACCCCGGCGATAGATCGTCTACAAATCGGCACCAGCCTCGCGGGTGCTAGGGGGAGTAAGTTTGATTCTAACAGTGTACAGCTCGTAAGGTGATTCCTAACACTTAATGGTTCTCTCCTGTTTAAATTGATGTGAGATGTGTGAATACCTTAGATATTGATAGCTTGCTTAACCTATACCCTCTCTATGTAGCTGAGATTCAATGGAGAACAAGTGGCTTGCAATTTACGGAGGTCTAACATATGCGTCTCAAAAGGTAGCATGGCTCTTTCATTCAATTTCGTTAAATCCTACCAAGATATTTCTGAATGGGCAAAAAATCCAAGGTGTAATGAAGAATTGTTCCAATATTGAGCCTCTGAGCTGTTGTTAAAGGGCTGTAGGGTAGATGGTCGCGATGGAAGGAAAAGACGCGTCAATTGTCTCAGGCCTCCTCACCCTCATCAGAATTTTCTCGGGCCTCTCTTCTCTTCGCCATTGAACACCAACGACTGCTCTCCCAGCGTGAATGATGCGACCAAGCCCTAGTGATGAGGAACTCGACCGAGATGATGCCCAGCTCGGCGCGTCCGGGTACAAGCGGGAGATGCCCAGGCAATTCTCCCTCGTCTCTCTTCTCGCCCTCTCCTATGCCTTGATCTGCACTTGGAATGGCTTTGCGAGGTATGTTCCAATCATCCCAGCGGCTGACCAAGGTAGCTAACAATCGAAAATGTAGCGCAATTGGAGGCGGCCTGAGCCAAGGGTCGTCTTCTGGCACCATCTTCATGCTCCTCCCGGCGGCCACCATGATCCTTGTCGTGTCCTTAGGCATGGCAGAGCTGACATCTGCCTTTCCAGTTGCTGGAGGTCAATATTACTGGGCCTTTATTCTTTCTCCGCCAGCTTATGCGCCGCTAATCTCCTACACGTATGTTTCAAATGAAACCCCTTTGCCAAGGCCTCCTCTCGCTCACATTCTATCCCTAGCACTGCTGCTGTTACTGTGATTGGCGCATGGCTTGGTGCAGCTAGCACATCCAACTTCATCTCGGGAATGATACTTTCTATTGTCCAGTTCGTCTATCCCGAATATGTCGTCTATTCATGGCACAAGTACCTCCTCTACGTGGCCGTCATTGTTGCAGCCTCTCTCCTCAATATCTTTGGGTCTCAGATTCTGCCCGCATTCAATAGATGCATTTGTAAGCTCCCTCCTCCATCGGTTCATCGGTTCGAACAGATACTAATCTCCGATGCTGAAGTTGCATTCTGCTTGGCAACGTATGTGGTGACCATTATCACAATGCTCGTCTGCTCGTATCCCAATTACAATTCCGCTAAATGGGTGTTCACGGATACCACCATCTCAACTGGGTGGACGAGTCACCCGTATGCCTGGACGCTCTGCTTCGTCAATAGTCTTTACGGGTTTCTGGGCACCGACTCTGGGGCTCATATGACGGAAGAGATTCCGAATCCCTCGATCAATGGCCCAAAAGTGATTGTAGGTTGCCTATGGAATCGACTATTTAACTCTTAGCTGCGAGGCTCGTTGTCCAGGGCTGATGTGCGAGTTAGATATATCCCGTCCTAATTGGACTCATCACAGGTATTAGCCCTTGTTATCAATATACCGACCTAAACATATGCTGATGGATTCTCCCAGTGATACCTTTCGCATGCACCTGCATGTTCGTCATCAAGGATATGGATGCCATTTTGAATGCGCCCAGTGGACTGCCGTTGATTCAGCTCTATCACCAAGCTACTGGTAGCCGAACCATCACTTTCATTTTAATGCTTGCTTTCACAGTCTGCTTTTTCGCCTGTGCCGTAGCGATTATTACAGGATCTTCTCGGACACTCTGGTCGGCAGCCCGCGACAACTGTTTCCCGCGCTCCGATCTGTGGAAGCAGATAAGCCCCAGGTTTGAAATGCCAATGAATGCGGTGCTCTTGCAAGCCTGCTTTTCTATTGTAGGTGATTTTCCTGTCAGTGGCTTTTCTCTCAAAGCTAACAGTAGCTTTACAGCTCTATGGGCTCGTATTTGTTCAGTCCGAAAGCGCCTTCGCCTTGATGGTTAGTGCCTCCATCATCTTCTTGGTATCCTCCTATGTCATACCGCAGGTGATCCTTCTTTGGGTCGATAGAAACGAAAGCCTTCCAAAAAGGTCTTTTGATCTGGGTCGGTTTGGATATGCTATCAATCTTTTTTCGACCTTGTCGACTTTGCTTCTTATTATTGCTTGCTGCTTGCCGACGGCCTTTCCAATAACATATACCAATATGAATTACAACAGGTATGACATAGCCCCGCTATGTATTAACTTCTGGCTGCTGACTTTACTCTTTAGCATCGTGGCTGCTTGTTTACTGCTTTTAATCTGGTCGGGGTGGATGTTTTCGCGCAGGGACCTCTTTAAGGGCCCTGCTATCGACAGGAGTCTGCTGGCAAAAGCGAGGCGAATTGGAAATCATGACACGAGATCTGTTGATGAACACACGCCTCTTATGCAATAATGACCCTCTCAAGATGGAGGTTGACTCCTGTTATTCTTCAATGAAAGTTCATGATACTGCTTTTTTCGTTCCTGTGCCGGTTTCCCTGAGATCTCCACCCAAAACATAGCGTCTGATAGATTAATCAATATGTTGCCTCCGACACGAGATCTGTTCACCTTTCTATCGGGGAAAACTGCCGTCAAGAGGCATGTCTATCCCATCGTTCACGACAAAAGAGTTGAGTGAAATGATCTCGACCTTTTGCCCCATCAGGGGCGGCACGTGGGCACGTCTAGAATGGAGGGTTACATTGGAGGATCGCATCGCCTTCGGATGACATTACGTAGTGACCATTTGCTTCTTCTATAAGAGCTCTCGTACAGGTAAGGTTGCCCGAGATTCCTCCAAAGTTCCGTAGGGAAACGGTTAGGCAATGTACTAGCCGCGAGAGCGTCCCACCAATGAGCTTGAGGTCAAAGACAGGATGCATTACCTGCAGGTATGCTTGGTTCAACCTTCTCCTTTCTTCACGCCATGCTCGGAGCTAACATGCAAATAGAATTCGGCGAGTTAAGTGTGACGAGACAAAACCGCTATGTACTCGATGTCAATCGTCTGGGCGTCAATGCGATGGCTACTTGCCCGATAAAACGTCGATGTCGCGACAGGAGCTTGTTGAAGCTGCCCGAAACCTCGGGACTGTTGGTCCAATCTCGCGAGCCCTGGCACAAAGGCCGCCGTCGCCTGTCAATTTTATACATCATTCAGATATGCCTTTTTTTGACGCCTTTCGGCATGCCATTGTCCCCGGCACGTCTTTCTTCTTCCCGTCGAGCTTCTGGAAACGTACCGTTATACAGATGGCTCACCGCGAACCCGCCATTTGGCATGCTACAGTCGCACTTGGCGCTCTTCATCAGCGATCAGAGATGCTGCTTCAAGGTACAGAGGATGACACAAGTCTTCTCCTTAACCAGGCCTCTGCACACTACGGCAAAGCAATGGCTTTGGTAAAGGATCTCCATTCACCAGAGACGATGGCAGCCGTCGCAATTGCACTTGTAGCAGCTGCAAACATGCTTGAGCGATGGTCTGAGATGCACATGCATGTGATGGCAGGTTTCAGAATCATTGCAGAAAATGTCGCGCGTGTCCCGGGCCTCGTAGCCCTCGAAGGGTTGCTAGCAAAGAGCGACCTACAAGCTATGACATTTAGCGACAGTCAGTGCCCTTACCCTTACGAGCAATCATCTGCTGTCTTTGCCATGAATGGGTTTCTTGCTTCCCCTTTCACAGACTGCGGGTCTTACGAAGAGCTTGCCAGAGAGTTCTTCAGGCTCATGAGGGCTCTATTTCTTCTCGACAACAGCACTCCTCCATCAAATGCTCAGCATGGCCCATGGCTCACAACCTTTGAAGTCTTCAGTCGAAGACTGGTTTCATGGGAGTTGAAGATGCAGGAATTCGAATCGGCACACTGGCCCACCGATGATGAGCACACAGCAAGACTTGCAATACGACTGTACCATGTGACTCTCAGGACGCTACTTCGAGGAACAGCCCTTGGTCCCGAGACTCGTTGGGATACACTTCTCGGTTACTTTGAGTACGCAGCCGCACTTGCTACCTCCCTGCACGAGCGTCTCCATACCGCCGCTATACCAAATATCAGTGTTGAGCCTGGTTTGATCATTCCGCTGTGGATGATCAGCCATCGATGCCGACACCCTGCTCTGCGCCGGGTCGCGATCAACATGATGGCAGAGGCGAAGAGGATCGAGGGCATGTGGATGAGCGACGCCACTGCCCAGGTGATGAAGACTATTCTAGCCGTAGAAGAGGAATCTATTGGTAGCAGCGTCCATGTTTTGACGCCACCCCGGTTAGATTCATCGTCGCTGGACATTCCGTGGCATGCGTGGTCCAAGCCAGGGTTTGATGTTCCCACCACGCTCAGTTGGTCTGATGTGCCAGTCATACCGGAAGAGAACCGGGTGAAGGAGCTTCTCGGCACGAAGCGAGTTGGGAAGCGGGCTGCTGACCTTCGGCTTTTGATGGGTTCGGCTGATGATGAGAATTCGTTTGGGCTAGTCAGGGAGATAAGCATAAGTTTCTAGGCGCAAGAAAAGTAGACATATTCATTCAAACTACACGATTTCTGCTACATCAGTAGGTTTGATAGCTAATGTCGCGATAACTGCCAAAATTCATGTAATTGACTCTTCGATTAGTGCAATAAACAAAGTTACCAACATGCTTCGACCACAATACAGAGACACAGCGACTATAAGTTAGAGACTTAGAAAGACAGGTGCCTACTAGACAAGGAAAAGTGCCAATATGGGCAGTGCGGCAGTCATCCAACCACCACTGACCAGCGTTGAAGCGAGAGACGAACCGGAATCACCCGTATCAGTGCTGTTCCCTCCTTTACCATTGTCGACATTCTTCAAGCGTTCACCCTTCGTCCCAGGGGGGTTAGTCACCACGAAGTCCTTGGTCTCTGCCGTTCCATTCTCCAATGCCTTGATCTGCTCTTCGGTACATGTACCACCAGGTGCCAGCACGTAACAAACGTTCTCCAGAAGGTCAGGAAGCTCGCTCTTAACGCCCCGGATGTTCGACTCTCCCTTGGAACTGTAACCCAGCGTTGTGGCAAGGTCAACCTTCCCCGTGGCGACATCTTTTCCGAACATGGCGCGCTCGAAGATGACCGACACCGTCTCGGGCTGGTAGCCACCGGCACTGTGACCAGCTTGAAACACGCGCGAGAAGGATAGCTTTCCGTGCTCGCGTACAAGACCTCCCTGGTAGGAGGAGTTGGTCGTGATGGATTCATAGCCCGCCTTGGCGAAGTCTTCCGCCGACTGAAACGGGATATGGAGAGACGCGTTTTCAGCTGATATCCCTGTGATGTCTCGTATTAGAAAGGTGCCAAGGTATTGAGCCGAAAGTAGAGCCGTTCTTACAGTTGCAACGGTAATCTCGGTCACCGTAGACCATGGCTATGTTGACACCTCCGTCCAAAAGATGCGTGAGATGAGAAAAGCCATAACGGACCGGGTCTCCCGTCGATGCTAAGAAAGCAGTCTCGACTGCTTGACTGCCTCTGGTATAGTTGAGTGGCACGCCTAGTTCTTGCTGAACCCAATCCTGGTTGAAGAAGGCTGCCTCGTACTCGTAAGGGAAGGTTGCAGGTCTATTGTAAGTGATGTCGAAATAGCCGTACTAAAAGTTTAGTTAGTCTGATAGTCGACACACTACATGCAGGGAAACTGACCGGTGCATTGTTTTCGAAACTCTTCAGGATGGTCCCAAAACACAATTGACTGGCCGCACTGCAGACCTTGTTCACATCGTCATTGTTACCTTTGTTGTCTGGATCGCCTTTAGGAGCAACAGCTCGACATTGGTCGATCAGAGCGAGGCAGCCTTGTTCAGGGGCAGTGATGTTCTTCACGACCTCTTGATAGACATCTTCAGAGTATACTGGGAGCCCGAAGGTATTGTTACGAGCATAATCGGGGAACCCCATCACCATGGAGCTCATCTCGACCAAGCCGTTGATAATTCCAACGGTGGCCATGTTGAAAGCGGTAGCATTGGCGACCTCATGCGTTCCATTTTTGATGAGCTCGTTTTGGTCCAGGAAGTGTGATGCAAATAAAGGGGCGTACAGCCCGCCGTACTTGAAATGACCAATTAGCGCCCAGGTTAATGAAGTAATGGCGGGACATGTCACCTACAGATACTGCCCAGATGGAAAGCTCATCGTTGGTTGTGATTCTCTCTGGAAATCTAGTATTGATTAGCAGATGCAAGAGCTGGTCTAGAGCCGTTTGTATTCAGAGAATGAAGCCAAATGCTGGTTCATGTTCGATTAAAGACACCACTTACTCGTTGAACCAAACCTGAGCAAAGCTCCAAAAGGTTCTGGCAGCCGACATGGTCGTATTTGCCACTGTCTCGGGACCGCCTGCATGTAAGGTGCCCTGGATTGTGGTCAGGTTCAGCTGCGGCAGCTCTGCCTCAGTATTTACGGGCGAGAAAGTTTGCTCTAGGGTGTTGAGAGTTCCGTTGAGGGCCGTGGTGTAAGAGTAGCCGACGCCGAAAGGTTGGTCAATATATAGCATGTTTACGTGATTGTTCCACGAATGTTTGTTCCGGGTGGTAGAATTCCCATCTGCATTGAAGTAGCACGGGAAGACGGCTGAGCCATCAAATGAAGAATAGCCGGGGCCGCCGCCAAGGTAGATGGAGGTTGGGGCAGTTGTCGCATTGTTTCGTGCCTCTTGATTGCAACATGTCAGGAATATCTTGAGCAAATGTTAGCAGACTGGCAATACTTACCAAAGTACCAGAAGTGCAAGTGTCCAGAGACACCGTCCTGCCAGCCCGTTGCATCGGGAATGAGGTCCTTGGGGAGGCTGATATGACCAGAGTAGGATCTGACATTTGGGGTAGTCTCGCATATGCCCTTCACTTCTTTGTATGTGATTTGGGCACCGGGGAACTTCTGGGATAGAGTGACGTTGATATGCTTTGGTGGAGAAACAAATGACTGTGCAGCAACCGCCTCCCCCAATACAAGGGAGGCAAGCACCGTAGAGAATCTCATGTCGTGTTCTGATCAGATCGGTTATGCACAAAATTGAACGGCGGTTGAGAAAAGGAAGGTGTAAGGTCAAAAAAAGACACGATAGAACGTTGGGAACAATTGTGATGACTTGGAAGAAAAAAAGGTTGAGCATGTGTTCGCTTATATAGAAGTTCATACGCCTCTGTTAGTTTCGTTTATGCCGTCATTGTCTACTTTCTAGGGGAAAGCTCGTGTTTACTCACGCTCCGGTAGTCAGGCCAATCTTAGGCTTCATAGGATATTATGTAGCCTATGGTGTTTATGGATCTGGAGACGGGCATTTGGGGCTCGGTTAGTTGCCAAGGCACAATAATCCCATCCCGTAGGATTTTGGCTAAACTTAAAGGAGAAGCATTGATGACGATCTGGCGAGCGTACCAATCGCCAGCACTTGCAAGGATCCTTACAGCCTTATATGATGAAGATGGCACACGTAGTGACAGTTACGCATTGAGGCTTGGAATTGCACTTTCGTCAAGTGTTACGCCATTGAAAGCTTTTGACAGTGAAATTTGCATGTTTTGCCATAGCCCAGGCTCTTGAGTGTGATTGGCATGGTCGCCATCGAGGAGGATAACAATAGAATTGGTACCCACTCGTAAGCTGCCAAGAGTCAACTCGGAATGTCATAGCTACGGAGGGGTTATGGGAAAGAGATTGACAAAAAGGTCTGCACGGCCTGAAAAGCAAGAAACATACAAACAGGGTCAAGGTCACCAACCATTGAATTGAGCATGATCCAAGGCAACTATCTCAGCGAAAACAGATGATAAAATCATCATGGTGCTCAATGTTTGCAAGCCCAAGGCGGCAGAGACAGTAAGCTTTGAACGGTGTTCTTATATCGGTGGAAGAAAACGAGGAAAATTCTTTTTGTTTAACCATTGCATTATATAGGAACCAGTTGGCTCATTTTGGTGAATGTGAGCGAGTTAAATCACATATTTAGACACACTACCTCTCATTCATACCCTAATCTCAGACAAGTATACCTCTAGATGTCCCGGATTCTGTCTTCAAGATGTACAAAACTTCGCCTCGCCACTCTTCTCGAACATAATGACATGTTGGCGCTTAACTATCAATCTAAAACTGCATCGCAGGCTCAAAATCAATGTCTTCTCCAACACCTCGTATGTTCTGCAGGAACAGCATTGGAGCCTGCTCCTGGGGAGCATAAGGCGGCTGACCCCCAAGTGCTCCCCCGACTGCCATGGATTGACTGGGCAGAAATGCATCCGGAAAATGGTCAAAGCTTGATACGTAAGTAGCCTCATCTCGAATTGGGGTAGACTGCGGCGGTGGCTGCAAGGCATTCGATGCTCCGACGTGCGCTCCATGGCCCCATGCATCCAGCGTGACTTGACTGCTTGGCCAAGCTCTGGTCTGGGATTCTCCTTGAAATCCGCTTTGCCCGTGGGATATAGTGAAGTGTAAATGCTGCTGCTGCTGCGGCGACGGCGACGGAAGTGGCCCTTGACTGAACAACTGCACTGGGTTTTGTTGCATCGATACCGGAGGCATCAGTGCACGGGGCGCCTCGAAGCTCATGCCAGCCATGCGATCTCTGAAAGCTTGTAGCAGATACAGCTCATGGCTGTATGCGTTCATAAAGTGAGCCTTCAGGCTGGTCCTATGGATCTGAGGCAGTCTCTTGCGCCCGCAGTACAAAGCGCATGACTTGCTAGCCTCGTTCTTGCTCGGCGGATTACTGGTCACAGAATCCGCGGCCCTGTAGAGCAACTCCAGGTCGTCAGTAGCGATGTTGAAAACGTTCCTGGGCTCGTTGGCCGGCAAGTCAGCTCCTCGAATAGTCGACTCTCGTCGTGCTCCAGTTCCCAGCTGCAGCAGAAACCTGGCCTCGACTGACAGCATGCTGCGGTCGAACCGGCTACAGATAGAAGAAAGTCTGTGGTAGACACTTGTTGCGGCTACCTTCAGGATGCGGCCACCTGCACCACCTACCGGGTGTGTTGCACCGTGTCTGGCCATCTCATCGCTGAGCATAGCCAGGGCAGGGCACTGGACGCATGCTTCTGACAACAGAGCGGAAATATCCCAGACTCGATTGTCATTGCATCTATAGGCGACAGCGAATTGGAGTGCCAGTCGAAGAAAAGCGCCGTTATATCGAAATGAGAAAAACGGATGCAGGATCAGGCTCGAGAGATTGTCGACAAATCGCTGTGTCCAGAGTGGCAGAATGGCATATGTCAAGTCTTGGTTTTCAACTTGCCGTCCTGAACGGCACGATATGCCATGATGGCATGACATCAGGTACAGCGGGTTCTCTCGGTAAACCAGGATGCTCACTCTCCAAAGCTTGCTCAGCCTGTCCAAGTAGGTACGTGTCAGGCCATCGTACATCAAGCTAAACCGCTGGAAGGATGAGAAGACTTCCTCTCGCGCTTCGTATTCGTCTGTCGTTCCATACATCAGTCCGGGGATCTGTGTGGGCCAGAGGATGTCAAGGAGTTCTTTGTATCCGACTGCGGGCTTGCCGGAAAGAATGATATCAATGTGTTTATCCATCTTTTTGAACGTGAACGTATTCGCTGGTTGATTTGATCTTGGTTGTAGTGTTTGAGCTGCAGAAAAAGCAATGTGGGAGACTGTGACAAGATGGTCCGGTCCTCGATATTTATCTACATACCAGAATAAAGACAGATGTCGGAGGATGTTTGATTTCCATTGTTGTTGTTGTTGCTATTGCAAATGTGATTGCCAACAACAAGTCATAGGAAAGTATATGCGGTGTGTAACCACTAGTGACTGTGCAAAACAAGTCTGAGGGAAAGTGAATGTTCAACAAGAAAGATCCTAAGAACGCTCTACGCAGTAGCTTTACATTAAACCATCATGATTAGGTTGTGGTGTGGCCGCCAGGACTATCAAGCGAGAAAACCAAACACTAGAAGGAGAGTTGATTCGTCACTAGGTATTGAAAAACTAGCCACTTCCTTTCACTTGGAATATGCTCGCTTTATCAACTATCGTGCAAGACTAACCTCGTATATTATACGAGTGTGCAAGACTAACCTCAGATGTTATATGATCGCGCACTAGGGCGCTCATCCGGCCTGGTAGCTTTGACTCAGAGCAACTCACAAACCAACTTCTCCCCCACCAACCCTGTCAGGAGAAAGAGAGAAAATCGGGCTAATAACCAGCTAGCTACAGGCCAACATGGGCCCATTGTATTTGCTGCATCCTGCATTGGGGTGGGGACAGTTCAGCTTTGAGCGTCGAGATGCATGTGCAGCCAACAGACAGTAAATGCCACCCAAGATGAATACTCCTCTGCTCCCCAACCTTCCATTCCCCGGTGTGTTTCCAGACCCATCTCTCCTCTTCCATATGCATCCAGCTTCATCTAACCTTCCTCCTCGCCCAAATCACGGCCCAAGGCGTTATGGATGTTGACAGTACCGGCCGTATGAGTGCGCCTGGCTTCACGGTCAGCGCACAGCCAACTTCACAAACATTTATTACGCTTGTGACCACCACCAGCTCAAGTACGACGCAATTCCTGATTTCGATGGCATTTCAGACCGTCACGGTGTCTGCTACGGCCTCGCCAGACTCCCAGGATAACAACACAGATCGTGAGTATCTGCAGCACTTATTTCTATTGCGCAATATATGACCAAGGTCTAATTGTCCCCAAATAATACAGGAGCATGGATTGCTGGCGCTGTATTGGGCCCGGTTGTTTTTCTTTTAATCCTCCTCACAGCAGGCTTCTTTATCTGGCGACGGCGCCGACAAGCTGCCTTCAGAGCATCTGCCCTCACCACACGATCGATTCCGGTAGAGAGGAAATCGCAGTCACCTTCACCACCAAGGCACCCGTCTGAGTTACATGAAGATACCATAATACCACAGCCCCAAGAATTGTATGGCTCGCCGCCAGAAGCTTCATACATTGCCGAAAAGCGAGCACACCAAGTTCCGGCCCAAGAACTGCCCGCGAACGAAGTTGCGCCCGCATTCCAGGAAGATGATACATCGAAAGAAATATCTCGCACGGCTTGGCAATCTCCGGACGAAATCCGTGCTCGATGACAAATTTAAACCAATGAGAGAAAACAGTACACGAGCGGCAATGCGCGGTGGCAAGCTTCCGCGCGGCAATATCACAACCTTTCGACGCGCAGCGTAGGAGAAAGAGAGATTTTTTTGCGCCTGGGAGCAAGCCTGTTTGCTGTTTACGCATACTGTCGGTTGCAAGACAGATGTGCTGCGTGAGATAGTCTGAATTTGCGAGGAATCTAATGGACTACTCGGTTTGGATCTCTTTCACCCCGTCTTTTTTTCTTCAACTTGCGTGTAGCATCCTTCAATTTAAAGATGAGGTGCATGGGGTAGATCACAATGTAACAGAGCACCAGTTCGGCTGGGCTCAAGAGGTCGGAATCGCGAGTATTCATGTTGGACGGATTCTAGAGTGTTTGGTGGATTCTTTAAACTGTGGTTGACTCTCCTCTCTTCCGGAGGCATTGGTCTGTGTTGTCTCGTCGTTTGAGGTAAATGGGACCCTCTGGATTCAAGGATGGGCATTATATGAGGGGCTTGGGCAAGGCATGGGCAAGGCACACACGGCGGTCAATGCCATACACAAGGCTCCCTGCGAGGCGTATTGTGCTACGCCAACATTTCAATCTGCAACGAATGGGATCATAACAATTTCATAACATAATTTATTCGTTTGCCTCGATTGTGAGGGTGATCGACGTTATAACTAAGCAGTGCACGAGCGCTTGCTAAGGCTAAGGCACTCTCAGGCATGTGCGTTAAAAGGACAAAGGTCACCTCATCGCCCATGGCCCAAGAATATTGTAGTGAGAAAGCAGCAACCATGAAGGGGTCACAACTTCCGGCTTGGCACCTCGGCCACCTATACACCCCGCCCTCAGAAGTTCTGTGAAAGCTGGAGAGTGGAGAGTCACAGGGCCTTGTTTGTGAAGGGGAGCTCTGCGTCACAGGCATTTTAGATTCTTGGATCGCATGTTAGAGTCATCGCCTTGTCAAACCATTGATGTAGATTTTGGTAAGTTTTGGAAGCCTACCTATCTGATCAAAAGGACTGGACTGATATATATCATCAAAGTATTCGCTTAATGTATTGAGAACTCCTCATGTGCAGGGCAGGTAGCAAGAAATTCGCCATGCATAATCCCATCCACATATGCATCTCCACGAAAGTAAAAACCACCATCCGCTCGCTGTCTGAGGACGATGGGTGAGCGCACACCCCAGATAAGCGTTACGATGTCACCGGCCTCAACTTCTACGTATCCAAGCCCAAACATCCCCTTCGTGGTCTTGAAAAAAGTGCGGTTTCTGGTACTACTACCCGCACGCGATCGCCAATAATGTGCAATACGTCCGACCTCATCATCACTGGGACCTGTAGCGGGAGTCCAGTAGAAGGAACTCTGACCAAATCTCTCATAGAGAAACTGGACCTGTTCCTTCGTTAAACTTCCAGCATTGATGGATTCCTGCCGCATAAATTTGCGGACCAGTTCTCGAATGTCAATGTCCTCATCAGGTTTGAGTCGATGGGTGCTCTTAATGTTAGCCGTGCGCCAGATATAATCCTCCCCAGGCCCTGACTCGGGGCCCAAATCGACGAAGCGAGCGATCTTCTGGACCCAAGTATCTGCATCCCGGATTTCCGATGCACTATACCGGTTGGGCTGATACCATTCAGGCGGTTCCATAACTTCGGTAACCACATCAACGCGGCACCCAGCCTTGCGGAGTATCCCGAAGCTTCCAATGCCATCGCTCTGAGTAGAGACTGGCTGGGGTATGTTTCCAGCGGCCTTGAAGTCTTTAAAATAGCTGATTTCCCGATTTGGTCCTCCGTACTTTCCAACCTCCCGCCAGTCGGGAACCCACGTAGGTAAGGGACCGTCGATTTCCCCTGGCTTACAAGAGTCTAGGTAAAAAGCATGCGGATCCCACTCTTTAAGGCTACTAGACTCATCCAGCAGGAGTCTGGTTATTTCTGCGAACACCTCAGCAACTGGTTTCTGATAGTCGACGAGCACTCTCTTAGCTTGCTCTGCTGGAATTATGCCTAGAAGTCCGTACAGAATATCTCTAGGGTCTGTCGCGCTGTAAAAGGGGCGGTTCGGTGAGCCGCAGCGCTCCCACAGGATATGCGCCAGCTTCGCTTTCATCGGACTGGAAGGTAATCGCATCCAACGACGGAACTCAAGTCCCTTGATTTTCCAGAAAGTACCTTCCAAGCCCGCCATAATATAATTCCACCTTGGTTGCAGCCAGCTGAGATCGTACATCATCCAGTAGCTCCATAGTGTCGAGAATATTGCGTCGAACATGTCGAGCGAGACCGTTCTTGTGCCGACGTGTACAAGAGCTTCCCTTGCTAGAATCACTTCTTGGAAAGCCCAGATGCGATGCCAGTAATCTCGTGTCAGAATGTTCACAATTCCAGACTTCAGTGGGCTTTTGCTAGTCTTATGTTCCCTATCGCCGGACAAGCCCTCCTCCTCGAAAAGATCGTAGAGAAACATTCCTAACGCGGGCCCGGAGATATCCTCTGTCCCTCCATCCAGATCTCGGGAGTCAGCACGCTTCTTGAGGTAGGCCTTGACCTCGGGTGGCACTGCATCATGATCGAACAAGCTCGCCACGTCACAAGCGACTGCGGCTGGTCCCAAACGAGAGACCAAATCCATCGCCAAGTCGGTCTCCATGCAGCCTTGTCCGAGCCAGATATGGACCAGGCTGGCTTGGCTGTATATTTCTTTCATAGAGCTAACTTGCAGGTGTCTCTCTGGAGCATTTGACATGTCGATGCAGATTGCGTCGATCCATAGCCACGACTGTAGCTTCTGTTGATGGAATTGTCTCAACGCTGCAGCCAGGTTCCGGGTTACAGGAAACGGTGTTCCTCTGACGACGATCTCCTCCGTATCCTTAGGATCTCCCCAGGTATAAGATAATGTCGCGTACTCAACTTCGTCGTTCATGGACACATGTCGCATCTCCAGTGAGATGGTCTCAGGCGCGGAGGCATCGTCCGGGTTATCCGCGGTAACTGTGGACGAATCCAGCCGAACGAGCCTGATCTCTCGGTTTTTCTCTTGAAGAGGGTCGTAAGTGAACATTTTTCGTGGTCGCAACTGGGAAAGTACGCTATCCTTTTGGCCAGGTTATGGCAGCTTGAATGAGGGAATTGCGTGGATTGACGCCTACGCCGTCGCAGTGGATAATAAATGGCATTTACGCGCCCAACATTCGTTAATTGAGCCTCCGAGTAAGCCTGCTTTCCTGCGCCTCAGAGCCAACTGGTGTTCACCCCGCTCAGCCCCCTTGTTGTCAACCCCTTGCTGTTCATGTAACCAACACGCTGACAGCCCTCTAACAGAAAGTCCCCGAAAGTTTTTAGGCAGTCACCATGAAATGGAATGTGAGGTAAGAAAACAGAAAAAGGCTAGGTTAACCCAATAGAAATAGCTACCTTAGCACAGTTACTATCAATCAACAATTAACTATGCCGGAAGTTTCGTAGAAGTATTCTAATCGCCTTTCGTAGATTAAGACTCAGCCAGTACAGTAAATCCGTATTCTGTGATCACTGGTTTCCCTGGATGTAATTCACCTCCGGCCAGTCTGCAGATGGCCCGTCCAAAACTGCATCGTCCTTCCCAAGCAGATGCTCGTCAAAGAAGGCTTTGACATACCTATTCCTCAAGCCGATCATCCTATCCCCGTCAACAGGTCCCAGAGGCCGTGTCGTCCCCCATTTCTTCCAAAACGCCATATCAGTCCAGTCGTTGTGCTTGGCGCCGGTCACGGTGAAGAGGCGCCACCAGCCTTTCTGCGTTTTGAAAAAGTTGGCCCAAGTAGGGTCAATCTCTGCCGTGTGGCCTTCGAATCCCAAAAACAGAGCCGGCTTGTCCATGGAATCGGAGGTCGAGTTGATCCGTCCAAAGTTCGTGCCATCCATATTGATCGCCGCCGCGACTTTTTCGGACTCCAGAGCAGCGTTTAGAGAAGATGAGCCGCCAAGGGAGTGTCCAAAGGCGCCGAGCTTGTCTGTCTTGAAAGGAGCGTGCAACTTCGCCGCTAGCTTTGGGAGGAACTCGGCGAAGTGCACCATTTCCCGCACGCGGACTTCATGCAAGGCTATAATGTACTCGATGTCAGGATTAAAATCAATAGCGAGACCATATATGCCGGTGCCGTTGGGAAGACGAAGGAACGGCTGCTCGTAGATATGGTCCAGGGCAGCAACGACATAGCCGTGAGAAGCCAGCTCTGAAAGCACAATACCATCACCATCGGTAGATGGGCCCCAACCGCCTGGACCAAACAGTATTGTCGGTCCTGTTGGCTCGGAAAAAAATGACGCATCCTTGCGCATTGTTGACGTGAGGTGCGAGACGTTCCATTCCGAGAACTCAGCGTACAGCTGTGCCTGCTCTGGCTCGATATACGGACTTGGCTCGGCCGCCTCGTCAGGAGTCGGATAGTACAGAGTCGCTAAATACTCTGTTGATACTCCGTTCGGCCAAGTAGGATCATTCTCGTTGATAAAGGGAACCAGATGGCGCTGGATCCCCACGTTATACTTTCCTGAAGGGGTCGGTATAGGCTCAGCATAGCCGCTTGGGGCCAGCCAGAGGCCTAGGAAGAGTAAGACTGTTGATCGAAATTGTGTCTTGACCATCTTGCCACGCCGTTTTCCAAACGTAAGTTGAAGAATCAACATCTACCGCCCAATTGTCTGACCGCAAGTCATATTATTATAAGTTCAACAATTCAGAGCAAGGTAAGAAGCCAGAAGGATTGCCCAACGTCGGGTCTAATAACTCGACTGGGAACTATACCAATCGCTAAGCTCGATGAGGCAGCTGTTGACCTTTTGAAAGTCGTGTTCCCAGGATCGCTAAACGTCCTCGCCAATCAGCGAGCAAATTCGTGCTTACGACATGGGGGCCAAATCAACAAGCAAGACAAATCTAGATAGAGACGAATATTGCAGAACTTCTGTAAGTCCCCTCCGACGATCCGTTCTGGATTAGCATTAGGCAACACAGGATGATGGCACTATATCGCCACTGATGATGGCGTATATGCCATTCCTTCTCGCCTAATAAATCTTGCAAAGTTTGATCTTCAGAACCTTTCTGCTCCCAGCAGGTTGCCTTCGATAAGTCTATAATTCAAGCTGGCTCGCTGCTGCAAACGTGAATAGAGTACATCGGACCGGAGACTAACCTTGTGACAATGAAAGTCACCTGTCATGGACAAGCTGATTACAGGGACATCGTTCAGCTAATATATATGGCAACCAAAAACACATCTGCGTCGAACACACCAGAGACACTAGACTACTATAACCCTACGCCCTGCGCGTTTATTGCTAGAAGAAACTGCAGAAGGAACTAGGCTCAGTGCGGGACAACTTTGTATAACACTCTTATGGCTGTCGTGTTTATGTCTATTCTATTGTGCATCCTAGCTATGCTGTCTACTCCAAACGAACATCGTTCTTCCACCCCCTCGTCAGCTCAAACTTGACCCCCCCTTTCGCCCGCGCGGAAGCTGGCCCTCACACCTTCGACTTGATGTTAACCTGCGCATATGGCAGGTCTTCCGGCACATGGTTCCACTGCCCGGTGCCCTCGTGCAGATGTTCCTGTGCCGATTTCCATGCATCTCTCACGGCCTTTTCTCTTTGCTCGCTTCGCGGCAGGATCTTGGCCGGGAACTTGGCAGGCATCGCCGCTAACCCTCCCACAATATCATCCGGATCAGGTGTAATCTCGTTGCCGTCGGCATCCTTTTCCTTGGAGATGTTGAATGCCCACAGAATGCGCGAAATGCTCAGGAACAGCGAATTCTCCGCAATGTCCATACCCGAGCACAAGCGGCGCCCGGAGCCGAACAGGAAGTGGTCTCGTTGTGTGACGTCTGGCGAGAGAGCTGACTGGCGGCTCGAGTTGCGGTCGTGGAGGTACCGCGCCGGATCGAAAGCCCTTGGGTTCTTGTGACGATTTGGGTCATTGTGGATTGCCCTATTCCTAATGTCAGCACGTTGTCGCCCGCTACCAAGAAGGCCAGTGAGTCTTACCAGACGTTGGTGATGATAACTGTGTCCTTGGGTATCTTGTAGCCCAGATACTCATCGTCTTTGATGTTTGCATGGGGAATCCCGAGGATCGCAGAGGGCATCCAGCGGCACGATTCTTTAATCATCGCGTGGATATAAGGCAGGTTTGCCTGATCGTCCTTGTCCGGGAGACGATCTCCGCAAACCTTGTCAAGCTCCTCCTGGGCAACGCGCTGGACGTCTGGGAAGAGGATCATGGCCTCCAGGAAGACAGTGAGTTGGGTGGAAATAGTATCCGAGCCAGCGATAAGAAGGAAGCCGCATATGTAGCTTGCGAGGTCGTCTGAGAAGCCTTCCTCCTTCTGCGCCTTGAGGACGTCCTGAGCCATGCAGGGCTACGCTTATCAGTTTGTGTGATTCGCTGTGTGTGTGTGAAAGAAACCAACCCACCTGTGAAGTCTGGTCTTGAATCCTCTTGCGGGCACTGCGCCAGTGGTCCAGGAAGAGACCCAATTGCGCCTGGTGAAGCTTCTTTGCTTGCTGTCTCACGGGAAGAAGGGCGTCCGGCAAGAATCGCAAAGGCTCATACAGGTCCACGATGACGGAGATGGCCTTGCCCAAAAGCTCCGACCATGCCTCAAAGTCGCTATACAGCTGCTGCAGCTTTGGGTCCCCATTGTTCACGGTCCGGAAGCCCAGGACGAGCTGCGTCATCAGCGAGTGCGTATAGCGCCTGATGGAGGCCCGGAACTGGCTGGGATCATCAACGAGCTCGTTCAGCATCTGCAGGTTCTCAAGGCGCTGGTATGGGAGGTATGCGCCCGCGGCCTTGGGGCTCAAGCTGGCCTGAAAAATGCGATGGCACATCTTCCAGGTGTCGCTGTATTTCTAGAAGGGCGACTTGTTATCTTCAGATTCATCCGATTCGACGGCATTTGAACTCACCATCATGGCGAAGCTCAGCCCTCCAGTCACAATATCCGTGATATGCGAGTCAGGCCTGGAAGAATAGATGCTACCTCTCTTATCGAGCATGTCCTTGACGCCTTGATCAGTGTTTAGGACAACAACTCTCCTCGTCCCTAGGATGAGGGAGTAAATGGGTCTGCAGGACGGATGCTGTTAGTAGGTAAAACTAGTTCTGTGTAGTCGAGTCATACAAGGGCCATCTGCTCAGTAGGTTACGGGTGTTTGGAACGCAGAGACACTTACCCGTACTCGTCCGCCCATTTCTTAAATTGCTCATGAGACCTATTCTGCGGAATCTGGTGAAGGTTGCCTATCAAGGGCAGAGTAGGCGGTCCAGGGGGGAAGCTTCCAGGCCGGCGACCAACTCGGGAGATTTTCCAGATTACCACGGCAAAAAGCGCCAGTAGTGTCCACGACCAAGGCTGTGTAAAACTCATTGTCACAGGCATGGGGATGTTTGTCGCAGTCAGGGTGACTTGTGTGGTAGATGAGAGGGAGAAGACAGGCTCGAGCCCTCCGTCTCAGCCAGCGTATATGCGGAAAAAGAGTCGACGATGCCCCATCGCTTCCCTACATCTGGGCGTCGGTCAAGGAGATTTGTCGATGGATGCCAGCAGCTCTGGCAGGCATTCCGCACTCGGCGACTCGCGACGACGAGTACATGGGGTACAAGATCCCAAAGGGGGCAATGGTGGCCATGAACGTTTGGTATGGTTTCCTCGTCCCCAAAGGCTCGGTAAGGGCAGCAGCCACTGAAAGCTTCCAGGGCCATCCACATGGATCCCCAGCGTCACCAGGACCCGCGAGCTTTTGATCCCGCGCGCTACGGCATGGTTCGCTCGCGTAGAACGCTTGGACTGCCGCCCAGGTGGGCTTCGTAAAGCCGAGCGGCCCGGCATGAAGTTGGCCACACCGATTGTTCTACAGAGAATCATCTCCATTCCCTTGGCAGCCAGCTGTAGCCCCAACGTTGAGGGTGCCCCCCGCTGCAGCACTTGCCCCCTTCCGAGTTTACACCTTTCCAAAGATGGCTCCCAGTCTCGACGATTCATTCACCACCGCTAGGGTGGGTGGGTGTGAGTGAGAGAGTCTGGGTCAGCCAATGTAGCGGGAACAGGAACATGCAGGATAAGACCTATTTCGGCATTGAACTCGTATCATGGCTTGGATTCTATTCAACTAGGAAAATATACATCTCTGTCAAGGCTTCTAGAAGAGATCGTCCGTAAGCGGGGCGTGGTTTAAACTACACCGCAACCGTGTTTCCCAGTGACGTCCTTGTTACGGGCTCCGTGCGCCGGAGCTTTACACATTGAGGAGATCCGGTGGTGTGCTTGGAGGTGTCTTATCGACTTGGCCCATTCAGTCGCAATGTCTCCTCCAATCTTGTTAGGCCCAGTGTCTTGACAGCCATCATCCCGAGTAGGTTTGAGCGCTTCGGCCCCCTCCAGCCCCTCAGGCTCAACCTTCTCATCAGAACCGCCCTGAGCAGGAGCTGGCTCCGGGGCGGGTTGGATGTTCTCGATGGCGTTGGCCCATAGTAAATCGTCGACTTTTGGGGTGGCCCATTCGGCCGCGTCGACTCGTCCGACCTTGTTTGCGTTATCAAAGTACCGGCAGAAGCTCTGCTTGACAGGGTCGCCGCTGCTGCAGATTTGCTTGTGGATCTCGCTGATCCTGTACCGCTTGTCGCACAAGTGCCACGTGACGTAGCCGTGCATGAACCGGGTCATGGTGTCTACCAGTCTCGGGTCCTTGTCTTTGAAGACGGCCACAAGCTCCTCGCTCACTCTCAGCGTCTGCGTGGTTAACTTCTGGAGGCCTTCGTCGATGGCCAAGCCCCCCACGTGGCAGTAATTGTTGACCAGGCTGGTCTGGTCACGCTCGTCATCGAACTCCTTGTAGAAGGAAATCAGGTCATTGACCCAGACCATCCAGTTCTCCATCATACAGATAGCTGTGGTGATCTCGCGGAAGAGCTGGCGCTCGTCGAACATTTCTGCGGGCCAAATGGAGGCGCCTACGGCGTGGCCGAGGCCGTTCATGCGGCGTAGGAAGTCGGGGTAGTCGGAGGACCCCTTGTAGCCGTTGAAGGCATACTGCTCGATCCAGCAGCCCTCGAAAACTAGGAGAAATCTGTCAGAGCCACATTGGCAATCATCATGAAAGGCGACTCACAGTCCACGGTGCTCCGGTATATGTTCAGCGAGCAAAAGGGACCGTAGTGCTTCAGCACGTCTGGAAAGTGATCATTCACGAGCTTCCACCAGGGGTGCTTCTGCTGTCTGCCGTTGACCATGTCGCCAAAGAAGTCTCGCATGCTGGAGTAAGGGTCATCCTCGCTGTCGTCGAGGATCATCGTGTATGTATAGTGGATGGTTAGAGCGGCGCAGAGCTCGGGCGAGGCGTTGACCCAGCAGTACACCACCATTCCCGTGATTGTCTGAAGCGCAGCCTGGAGCCTCTTTGGCTTCACTTGGAGCATCTCCCGGACGTGCGGCTGGGCAAAGTAGCTGGCGGCCTTCTTGTAGGCATAGCTGAGTCGACCGACGCGTTCATCGTGGGTATAGTTGGCGTCGTTGTGCTGAATGGTGTCCATCAGCTGGACAACCGTGGCGACGAACGTCTCGGTAGGAAAAGGCTTTTGTGACATGGTGAGAGAATGCTGCAGCGAAGATCCAAGAGAGGCTTCCTAGACTGTGCTGAAAGTTTACCTCTTCTGGTCTGAGCCTTACGGGCCGGTGGGAGGCTTTTTCAATCATCCTCAGAGGTACGAAACGCCGCCTGGACAGCTCCGTAATCTTACATGCGAGACGGATAGGCCGGTCTCAGGAGAAGCATAGGACAAGCTCTCGTCGGTGAAGTCGACTCCTGCCATTCGCTTATCTCCTTGAAGCATCGGAAGCTGCAGCAAGGTGTTTTCTCCATTTGTCTATACTGTATAGAGGATGCCGGAAGATACTAAAAGGGGCCCTAGTTAGAATGTCGAATTCTATATGCAGTCCTGGCTAGTGGCGAAGTCTACCCTGGTATAGTACTGTTCAATACTTTATCATCTACCTTGGATAGGCTCCATGTAAAGTACCTCTTATCCTGATTCTATCAGACGAATCAATACCCTGTCAGTTACATGCTGCAACTTCCGATACTCCAAAGAGATAGTAGCACTGTCGTCGATCTCTGAGTTGATCTTCCTAGACACCTACGAGTGCTTGGGGGCATAGACGTGGGGGTACAAGGGCACCTGGCGCCGGCTGGGACCGTTTCGTCTTCCACACAATCTCTCCTTCGCCGGGAAGCCCGGTCAACATTCCTCGGCGCTCCTCACTATTCCGACTATTCTCCCTAGACAAGCGCCGTGAATTCGTCCAAGACGGTCGTCCAAGGTGGGGCCCTGCTGGGGGGGCGTGCAGCCGGTGCTGCCTATAACAAGACCCTGCCCGGGATATTATCACGGCCGAACCTGCGGTCTAAGTATAGCGCGCGGCTAATCCAAGCGGCGCTCTCGAAAACTATAGTCGAGTTATGTTATACAGCAGACCGCCTTGCACAGCAGACAGGCGCACGGAAACCTCGTGAGGACAGGAGGCCGGAGCTGGCGGTGGCAACATCAGTAGAATACGAGCGTTAACATAGGCTGTAGGAGTTTCGCCCTGCCATCCTCTCGTCGGTATCCAGCGCTGGGACATGGATATGGATCGTGTTGCCATTGGCACTCGCAACGATACTGTGAAATCGGTAGAGGCCAGCTATAACATGCGCGGCATGTCGATGAAGAGGCCACCTCAGCCAGTCTAACCACGTCCATGTCAGTCTACAGCTACCCTGTAGCCAACTTCGAATAACACGTCTATAGCGCCAGCCTGGTTATAGCCAGTCTGAGCGTAATAAATACGCTAAATATAATAATATAATTCTATTTGATCTACTATAAAGAATTTAATAACAGTTATATAACTTCCAGTACTAGCCGATTGAAATTTATACAGTGAAATTTATATAATTCATATATACTATTGATATTACAGTAATATCATTAGGTAGTTTCCCTTCAGCATTTTCACATAAAAGGCGATGGTCTCAGATTAAGAGCTAATATTCTTATATCTCTGGATACGCCGCCCCCCGGTCACAACACCTTAAGCTAAAACGTTTTGCCTATCACCTTTTCACACAGCATGCCTTCAGGAGTAGACATACTAGCCGTGCAGTTTCTTCAAAGGTCAAGCATATGTTTCTTCATGAATGTTGCTGATGCAAGAAGTCGATGTGCTCGCTACGCGACTAAGAGAGACTGAAAGGACGCCAGATCAGGTCCAGGCTTTAAGCTATAGGTGCGTTTTATATAATGGGTTCAAGACATCCTTCCAATAGCTAGGACAATACAACAAACTTTTCTACTTTTGTATATGACAACAAGGTCTCCAAATCTCCATGGACTTTCCAGGAGCACTATGCTAGGCATTCAAAGCGCTCGGGGTCTCCGCGGACTTTCCGTCTATGTCCTGGCGTATATCTTAGGGTAGGAAGCAGCGGGAAGTTTAATGTTCTGCCTAACGGACGAAAATTACCCCGCTACCAAAGGAACATCACACCATATTAATAATACAATACGCCCGGATGATCTTTACTTCAAGGTCTCAAATTCCAGGCTCCCATGAATCTCGGTGCTCGGTCTTCAGGTTGCGCCGATGACGACTTCGTCTCAAATGGGTGGAATGAAAGGCGAGGAAGCTTAAGATTCATGGCTGGATTATAAAACGAGAGACAATAGCTCACTGCAATTACGAGTTGAATCAGGAGGCCAAGACTTGAAATCACCAGTGCCGTCAGCAGCTAATTCTATCATGGTCCAAACGCAAAAAGCCCTGGTTGTTACAGAGCTGGGCAAGCCAGTCGTCCTTGTAACCGACTGGCCAATCCCAGAGCCCAAGGAGAAGCAGATTCAGGTCAAGATCGCTGTGGCCGGCATCAATCCTCATGACCGAAAGACCAGAGACACAGGGCTCATGGTCGCCAACAATCTACCGGCTATTCTTACGCATGATGTGGTCGGCGTGGTCACGAAAGTCGGTCCAGAAGTGGCTAATGTAGCCATAGGGGACCGAGTCATGATCCAATCCATTTTCGTGGACGACAAATGGACTCAACATGGGCTTCAGGAATATAGCCTAGCCGATGTGGGCGCCTTTGCAAAGATTCCCGATGGAATAACCGATGACGAGGCTGCAACGCTGCCGTGCAACATCATCGCGCCTCTGATAGCCATCTTCGCGGTATTGCATATCCCTGCCCCGTGGACGGACGAGGCCAAAGGTTTCGACTACGCCAGCGCGACGCTCCTGGTCGTCGGCGGAGGTTCTAGTTGTGGCAAGTTTGGGGTTCAGCTCGCCAAACTCGCAGGAATCGGCAAGATCGTTGTCGTTGGCGGCAATGAAGACGAGTTGAAAGGATTCGGTGCGACTCATGTCATCGATCGACACGGGGGATACGATATTGTACTTGGTAAAATCAAGGATGTGGTCGGCGATGACTTGATCTATGCCTTCGATGCGGTGAACCCTCCCGAAGGTCTACTTCTCGCACTGAACGCCCTGTCGAGCCATACGAAGGGCGCGTTGGCTCGGCTTATACCGAGACAGCCAGTTGACGAATCAAAGGTCTTGGGTAAGAAGGCTGGTTTCGAAGTTAGGGATACTTACGGGAGCTCCCACGGATATCCAGAGTTAGCTGGAGCATTTTGGGACCGTCTCCCAGGATATCTCGAGTCCGGAAAGATCAAACCTCTTGGCTATGCTGCGAAGCATGGGCTCACTGCCGATAACGTCAATGAGGTCCTGGATGCTTACCGCGATGGGAAACCTGTGACCAAAACAAACATCCACGTCTAAATGAGCAAGTAGAGAACTGAATTAAAACATTTCAGATCGAAGAGGTACATAGTTCGCGGGGAAATTTAAATATCATCCCTTTGCTTCTCACTCATACTCTCGACAAATCAATACATAGTTTTGCTAAGTGTCTGGCCGCTGGACCATTTGAGTAACTCCGCCACTTGTTGCTCATAGAACTCATTCATCGCGCGTTCCTCGACAAATGCGATATGAGGTGTGACAACCAGTTGACTCTTACCATTCGTGCCCCAGTCCGAGTTCCGCCACTTGCTGTCTAGGGGCAGAGGCTCTAAGTCGAACACATCCAATGCCGCTCCCCTGATCTTCCCAGTTTCGAGGACAGTGAATAAGTCTTTCTCGACGACGAGCGGACCCCGAGATGTATTGATAAAGAATGAAGAAGGTTTCATTCTAGATAAGTCGCTCTCGGTAATCAAACCTCTGGTTCGGTCGGAGAGTACTAGTTGCACGCTCACTACATCGGCCGTGCTGAATAGCTCCTCGCGGTTCACGGCCCTAAAGGTCTTTTCTCCATCCTGATTTTCAACAGGCAGACCTTGGGCTTTGGCCTGCTCATCGGCGACTTCTTGAGTAAGATTGGTGCTCCAGGCGATGATCTTGGTACCGAACGCGAGGCTCATAATACGAGCCACTGCCCCGCCCAAACGTCCAAGTCCGACCAAACCAAGGGTCTTGCCGGAAATAGAGGTGACAAGCCTGGTTTGCCACTTGCCAGTCTTGATCGCCGTATCATGGTATGGTATGCTTCGGCAGGCGGCGAGGATGAGTGTGACAATGTGTTCAGTAGTGCTGTCGACTAAGCCTACATGTTTATCTATCGTAGCTGTCACTGGAATGCCCCGCGACTGACAAGCTTCCATGTCAATGGCCTTGTTCCTTCTTCCACAACTGAGAATCAGCTTGAGTCGGGGGAGATGCTCAATCAACTCTCTGGGGAATGGAGTCCGCTCTCTCAAAGTTGCTAGGCTGGTTAGTGTTTTGCTATGAGAGACCCGATTGTATATACTGACAAATGACTTCAAAGGGCTCCAATCTCTTGACGATCTCCTGTCTTTCCTCTTCACTTGTAGCGGCATTATTATACGGCCGCAGTGTTTCTGGGAAATACTTGACAGTGAAAACTGATGGGTCCAATTTGCCAAAGTACGAAGGCGCGAGCCCATGGTAATCATCGAGCACAGCTACGTGAGTGGCCATTACGGTTCAAAACCAGTCTAGAATTCCGCGAGTTAGCAAACAGGCAAAGAAAGAGCAAGAGGTTGGGCCTCTCTAATTACCTATGTAGGTATGTGGTGATGACAGACAAGCGGGATATAATGATGTGTCGGTTATGGCTTCATAACCCCGCCCGGCTTCATGAAGAGAGAACCCGAACAGAAGCACGTCATGGCAAGCTACCGGCTAATGACAAATCAATATATGACAGCCCCAGCTCACCTTGCACTTGTGCTATTTATTCCCGCTTCAATGTTAGAACTCTTGCCGTGCCGCAGCTAGAATAAAACATTTCATTTAAACCCAAAAGATAAGACGAAAGAGGGAAAAAAGCTTATTTTACCACGGAAGAAAATCATATACTCTGTGCTGAGAGGGTGAATTCAGTGCCTAGTTCTCAGTCTTGCACTTGGGTTTGGTGCCATAATCATTTGAACTTCAATGCATCCGTCCAACAGACACGAGGCCCTATCACCCATCTGAATGCCCAGTACTTCAATGCCAGGCCTCAACGTGGTTCGAAACGTCCACTAGACCACACGATATTCTGGGAGAAGCATCTATTCCCTTTGAACCGTGCATGATTGGCGACGCCCACGATTGTAAGAAGGTGAAGGCTTGCAATTCTGCAGGTGGCCGAAACCCGGACATAAATCACCGGAATTATGGTCAGAGCATATGAATTTGTTCCAAAAGCCACCAAGGTTACCGGCCGGAGGAGAACATGAAACGCCATTATTGCCACAATCACCAACTCCACCTCGAAATTCGCATTTGAAAAGGATTAGCAACATCGCGGAATATCCTTTAGGGAAGTTCTTAGACTTCAGCCGTAGCCATTGTCAATTTTGCCGACATGCAAGTGAACACCCACTGTTTGAATGAATTCGGTATATGTAGGTTGAAGAGAGACCATTGACATTCATGTCAGTTTTGACGCTCGGATTGGTTAGAAATCCGAACGATCTATTGACAGTATCTAAATAAAGTTTACACCGGTTTGAGAGAGCACTGTCGCCGATCATGTGCAGACATGGAGGGTGGCATTGGGCAGCATTGGACATAAAGTACATCTTGAGACAATTCGCTGAGCTGGACCAGGAGAAGATCGCCCTGCCTTTGATAGCAATATTCCGGAGAGGTTTCTCCTGATATGCGGTAGGTGTATCTAAAGGTGTTAGTTTTGGAGAATTTCCTTAAGCTTCAATACATAGGTGGTGAGTTTGCGATTTTATCACACCGGGCTGCTTGGTAAAATCATGGCCGGAGCTGTTCGGTCTGGTATCAAATACCCTCGTTGCAATCGATGTGGTCTGTGATGCTGCGAGTGAAGCTGAGATACTGAGGTTGCAGCGTTTGAGATTTGCTCAGAAGGGTTTCGGCTATTTACAGGGCAAGGGCAGGCGGTCCAGGGGATACTCAGGGCGCGTTATCCGCTGTAAGCTCTGGAAACACGCTGAAGATACCGCTAATCGATCGTTCCTTCCCACCATTGGACATCCCTGCCGATTCACACGTGAGACAGTCGAAGCAACAACAAAGCGACATGAATGTTTGTTTGTTTGGCTCGTCCCAGCCCAAACCAACACCAGACCGATTAGGCATCTTTCGCGCCCCCAAGGCTGACAGGCAAAGTGTCCTCGTCCTACGGCACCAGATCTCAGCAGAGGAGCCTCTTGTCTTCCATCGCAGAGGATCAGAGCAGATCAGGCCATCGCAGCTCAGCTTCAACGACAGGCCTCAGATCAGACCAGATCAGATCCTCAGATCATCCCGAGCGGGACCAGGCCCACCGCCGGGAGATAAATGACCGACATTCTCATCACCAGACCGGCGCGTGCCATCCTCCACTGGGCTTGGTCTGGTCTCGCGGAGAGCCAAAATGACGGACCCAGAGTCGACCAAGGCGCCCCGCAAGCTGCACGCCATTGTCCAACTCGCCCTCGACTTCCTGACCGAGGTGGCCGAGGTGTTTGAGGACTTCAATAGAGATGAGGCCCTCAACCCCGTCACCATCCTGCACTGGTGGAGTGAGAGCTGGCGCAGCCTGAAGCGCAAGGTCAGGGAGGACGGTCTCAGGCGCACGCTCCCCCGCATCATCCTGGTCGTCATCTTCCACCCTATTCTAACCACCGCCCTGTGGCTCATTGCCTTTGTTGGCTATGTCATTTTCAACTCTCTCCGCCTGTCTCGTTGCATCAGGAGGTCGTCTGCCTATCTAGGCGAGCGGAGAGTCAGGCAGCATGAGGCGGCATTCCGCCAGCAGTTCTTCCTGTCCGCCAAGACAGATTCCCGCAACCAGAAGACACCTGTTGTCTCAGCTTCGGAGATGGCAGCTACTCTCACACCCACCTCGACCGGGTTCTTTGGTCTGCCGGCCGAGATTCGGCATGAGATCTTGGTCCAAGCCTTTGGTGGGCGCACAATGCATATGAGCCTAGAATTCCAGCACCCCTTCTTTATCACAATGTTCGACAGATATGGCGACTCCAGGATCGCCTGTCATGCCAAGATTGAACGTCTCGTTACCGTGTCCGACTCCCACCTGCGAACAGATCTGCCCAAGGAGTGGGTATGGTTTGGCTGCGTATGTCATCGTTCCTCATATCGAGATGTCGGCGGCCTGCGATCGTACGGTGCCTTTCGGAACCCGCAAGCTTATTCTGACACCCATGTTCCCGTCTTGCGAAGCAGTAGGATGGATTGCAGTGACACTTGTGAACCCAAGGATGATCGTTGCACAGAAGGGACGGGCCGCTGCAAAGCCTGGCCAGGTAATTGGCCCGACAAGTGCCAGGTCGGCGCGATCGGCTGGCTTTTGACATGTAGACAAGCGTAAGTGATATCATACATCCATGGGCCATGTTGAATTTTATCGACTGATTGTACACAAACAGCTACGTGGAAGGCTTTAATGTTCTCTATCGAACCAACACCATCCACATTGCATCACCTGCCCTCCACCGGCATATGCAGTCCATACTCACCCGGTCCGTTCTTTCACATCTGACATCGCTCGAATTACTCTGGGACCTTGACAGTACTCCGATCGATGAAGCCTTCAAAAGCAACGACAAAAAAGGCAACACGGACATATCAAAACACCCGTCACCACTCTTCCCGTCCATGGCTTGTCTTCGGCTTGCATTCGGAAAATCGTCAACCGAGGCCAAGACTATTGGTCTTGATCGGCACGCCATCAACGATCGAGAAATCAAAGACATCCTGATCAACCGGCTATTCCCCATGATCGACAATCTCCTGGACAGGATCGTTCCCAATACCACTGACGTGACCATATCGTGTCCCTCTTGGCGTTGGCACTCCGCCATTGATCTCGTCATCATCGAGGCACAGGGCGAGCAGGTATCCAAGCCACAGCATGCGGAGATCGGAGGCATCAAGTTCTGGAGACAGTCTGCCTCACGAGAAGCTACAATGGAGACACGAAATGACCGGAGTCTAGAGGAGGCGGCCGAATCGAGTGAACGAAGGTCTGGATTCTGGATTCACAGTTCCGATAGACCTAGAATAGCAACACCACGGATTGCAGCAGCCTTGGGGTATGAGCAGCCAGGTAAGCCACCATATACTGATCACGTCGGCTGTAAGACTGGCATGGTTGACTTACATCCTGCAGATACAGACGCCGACGAACGGCGTCGTGTGCTTTATGATAAGACCGAAGACCCATTCCGAGGGTATAATAGGCATGCTACCTCCTAGTATTCGCCTTCGGATGGGCGAGTGGCGCCACCATTAATGGACAAGCAGGTGCGGAGTATGCATCTCAATCGCAATCAGCGCAGGCTCTCATTACTTTCACCCAAATCTTCAGTCTATTCACGCATATTAGATCCCTATTAGATGCGGGCCACACTACATGCAGTTTCAAATATTCCCTTAAACTAGGATATCGAGAGGGAACAAGCAATTGTATTTCAGGCTGGCAGACCGACTCGGATCGGCCATCACGCCGAAATCGGCCTTGGGGACACCATCCAGGTCATCTGACCGGCCCAACTCACACACCAAAATGCGGGGGAGCCAATGGAAGAAAGATACGAACACGTGACCGGCATGTGCTTCTCCGGTTCCCTTTATCACAGCCATGTAAAAGATGGGGTAAAGCGAGGTTTGCTTGAACGGATCTGATTTTGATTGGGCTAATAGATAGCCGGTTATCTTTCCTTGGGTCGTCTTCTAGATCTAGATCGAAGTTTCGGAGCGAGATAGGATGAATATAAGTAGGTCCCATCGACGTTAATAAACCCAAAAACCTTGTGCTTTCAATCCCATATCAAAACAATAATCCTTGGCTTCAAACAATAATCCTTCCCTTCATGCAAAATTCTTTCCCTTTATTATAGAGGCTTCTTTTCGTTCAAATCCACAATGGCATCAAGTCAGCCATCATATCTCATCATCGGCGCGGGCGTCTTCGGCGTGTCCACGGCTTACCACCTCATCCGCAAATACCCCAACGCATCCGTCACCATCGTCGACCGCGACGCCTTCGACGCAGAGAGCCGCGTCGCCGCCTCGTGGGATTGGAATAAGATCGTCCGCGCCGACTACGATGACATCGTCTACTGCCGGATGGCTATCGAGTCACAGGACGTCTTTAAGTCGGACCCCCTGTGGCAGCCGTACTTCCTCGAGACGGGCATGTTCTGGATGTGCCGTAATAGCTACGCCCAGGATGTGATTAACAACTACAAGCGGCTGAACCGCAAGGCGGACATATCTGCTGTGACTGTTGATGAGGCCCGGACGCTCTACCACGGGCTCTTCAAGGAGGCTGATTATACTGGCGTCAAGGAGGTGCTTATCAACAAGACGAGTGGTGTGGCTCTCGCTGGTGACTGTCTGCGTGCCGTGACCAAGGCAGCGATTGACCTGGGCGTCAAGTACGTGGTCGGAGAGGCTGCAACCCTGCTGGTAAATGGTCAGGGAATCTGCCACGGACTCAAGACCAAGGCCGGGCAGGTTTTGACAGCTGAGCATACCATTGTGTGCACGGGTGCCGGTACATCCAAGCTGCTGGAATATAGTGCGCGCAGTACGGGGTTGTCAGATCTACAGGCAGGCTCGAGGATCGTAGCTGGTGGCATCGCCACGGGCATGGTGACGCTGGATGAGAAGACATACAATGAGAGGTTTGCTTCTATGCCTGTGGGCATGCAAGGCTATCCTGCTGAAATAGGTGAGTTGGCCGATACGACAGAGTCAACAAGCAGATACTGACATTGAGCAAACAGGGCCTTTCCTGGGCAGTCTAGCACCTACCAAGGACAGGGAGCTCAAATGGTGGGGATCAAAGATCTTCAGGAACACGACGGAGGTCCTGCCAGGCCGTCACATCTCATCGCCCCCTGATGCGGAAGATTACCGCCAGTGGAAGGTCTCAAAGCCGCTCCAGGAAGACATCCGCTCTGTCAGCGAGGTGTTTTACGGGAAGGAGGTCAAAAATTGGCACTTTGAGAAGTTCCGAGTCTGCTGGTAAGTCATGCTGAAATCTATTCACTATATCATAGGCTAATATCTAGCCAGGGACGCCTTTACCACGAACGGAGATTTCATCATCTCGCCGCATGCAGCAGCCAAGGGGTTGTACTTGGCAACCTGTGGCTCATTCCACGGCTTCAAGTTCTTCCCTGTGATTGGGAAATATGTGATTCAAATGCTGGAGGGCGAGCTCGAGTCGGATTTGGCGATCAAGTGGGCGTGGAATCGCGAGCGCCCAGATCCGAGCCTCAACCCGGAGTGGCCCAGATCTGAGCTCAACGATCATTTGGATTCAACTGCAAGACTATAACGTAAAATATAATAATTCAGGCGGATCCCGAGGTGCATTTACAATAAAGTAGATTATTTGTTATTAAAGCGGCATTAAGAATGAATAGAACATACCTAGTCAAAAGATTCGTTTTAACAGCTGGAGACCAATGATATTCAATCTAGACGACTCAAAACGAGGAAAACTCAGAATTCACAGCATAAAATAACAAATATGCCAATCGAGAAAGTATACGAGCCATGAAAGAGATAACAATAGTTCCATCTCGGGTCATCTGATCATTGATATCTCATGGGCCAGGCGGGGAGCTTATCTCGGTAGTGGACATTTATAGTGGCTGGTACAGGCCCTATAGCGTCTATTTCAGGCCGCTGCAATCATAAAACCCTTCCCAGTCCCCCACATTTCTCAACCCTCCATGACGATCTACCTCGAATCTTCATCAACGTTCATCCATCTCAACCACATACCACGTCCACATCCCACTCGACGATTCGTCAGGGATCCAGCTCTCAAAGGGCTTCCAAGCAGCGCGATGAGCTCCGGCTCTGGCTTCCGCGACAAGAGAAGCCAGCAGGCGTGCGTGCCGTGTCGGTACGTCAACCGCGTCACCAAAGACCGACACGTGAACTGAAACTACTCGCAGCCGCAAGAAGAGCAAATGCCCGGCTGAGAAGCCGGTATGCTCAGCCTGCCAGCGCCTGAATCTACGCTGCGAATACCGCGCCAAGGACCCAGTCACCAAACCGCAAGCTTCCACAGCACAAGTTCCAGCAGGCGTCAAGTGAGCTAGCACTCTCCGTCATCGATCATTCAAAGACGTTAACTCATTTCTTCAATCCCCAGAAAGCCAGCAAAGGCGGTTACTGATAATAGATCCCAAGAGCTTAGGGTCCAGCCCACAGCTCGGCAAAATGATACAGAGTATATCACATCTCTCCATACCTCAGTGCTAGTATCTCGCTAACAACATCCACGAGCCAATCATCTAGAGCAGGCACTTCTTCATCAGGAGCCTCAAATACTCGTCCTGCCTCTACATCACAGCAACAGCCGATATCTTCGCATCAGGGCCTCGCCCCAATGGCCCCTACAGGACTACCACAATCCACAGGACCAAGAACGTCGAGCATCGAGTGAGCATCCATTATCATTTTCACGTGTGTCCCATTGTACTGAACATCGTGAAGGGTCCCTCCAACACAAGTACTGGATGATCTGATCCAAGTCTATCAATGGTCGGCGCACCTTCAGCCGATACCTCTTTTCCAATCCCAAGGCTTGAAGGACGAACTACTAGCCTCACCGCGCTATCTACTCCATAGCTTTCTAGCCCTCACGTTGAGTCTAAAATCTCATGTCTACTACCCAGATAGCGCTATTGCGGTTGAGCACTACACCAGGTCAGCCGAAGCCATGACCAGGGTTCTATCGGTCCAAGGAGTAGCAAGGCTGGAGGTTATCCAAGCGCTCTGCCTCCAAACTTTGACGGCGCTTGCAGGTACGTTTCCAGGCCCTACAACGATCTCTTTATCCAAAGAGAGCATTTCACTAATGATCAAATACAGCGTGTAAACCCAATGTGGCCTGGATGACAATCGGGATTGCGTCCCGGTTAGTCTCTTGCCGCGCTCTGCGATCCGATGAGAACTCCAATGACAAAGACCGCAGTCTCCGGTGTCGTTGGAGCGTTTTCTGCCTGGAGAAGATATTCTCACCACACATGAGCATCCCAGCCAAGTACCTAGACGGCTTGGAATATCCGTCCAGTGCCCCTTTGCCGCCACTCCTCACCTCTGCCGGTGCCGGTGACAAAGTGGCTGGTCTTTACGACTCCGACGAAGCTGTCACGGACCTGGGGATCAATTCCTACTACATACAGATGATTTCCGTATGGGGCGACGTCGCAACTTGGCTCCATGACATCAAACTTGGAAACGATGAGATCCCTTGGCGGCCAGAATCCGGCCATACCAAACTCAGCACCCGATACTACGAATTCGAACGCCAGCTCCCCCACATGCATCTCCTGCGAAATGTCTCCTTCACTACACGGACAGCCAGCGAGATCTTCGAGCAGAGGGAGTACTGGACATCATGGGTTCTCATGCAGATTCTGTTCCACGCCGTCCCCGCCACCATCAACCATCCTTTCATTCACCTAGTCGCCGTACGTCGATCAACAAAAGGGCCTCAATCTCACGCATTCTTGCAGCAGACTGTGGATCTGGCAATCTTTCATTCCGCCTGGGTTTTCCGGATCCTTCAATGCAGTGAAGGGTTTGGTCTAGAGATTACCAGTCCTCTGGTCGGACACCTAGTTGCCATCTTGGCCATTGTGCCGTGTCTGTTTCGATTCGCCGTTGACGAGAAGGTCTCGAACCGAGCAGTGAAAGACCTCAAATGGTGCCAAGACTATCTAGCTCGTGCCTCTTTGATTTGGCCGCACATGTCGCAAAAGGTATGCAAAATAATCTGTAGCCTTCTTTTCACAATCCATAAATCGCTCACATATCCGTCTAGCTCGATCTCTTACGAAACCTACAGCATATTGCCGACCACCAAAGAAGTAACCACGAAGGAGGCAACACAATCATGTTCCAGCCCTCCCTGGTCTGGGCTCTGCTAGATCCAGAGATCTGCCATATGAATACCTCCAATGAGATACCAGACGAGTCTCCAGCTGTTCCCGAGGCTCGACTCCGTGTAACTACGCGGTTCACCCACCCATTGACCGAAGCGCAGCAGGAGCAACAGCCGGCTCCGAGCTCAAATTTCATCACGGATGAGAATTTTTCATTTGACCCGGACGAGCTAGAACAGCTGTACCTAGATGATTTATTCTTTCATTCTAACCCTGATCCGTTCTTTGGTCTCTAGGAAAAGAAGATTTCGGATCTGGTGAGGGGCGATGGAACGTTGGGTGAACAATCCTAGCAATGAGCCTGGAATTGCTGCTGTTGTCAAGAACGGAGTCATCAGGACATGGCAATATTAAAAGAAAAACATTATGCTTCATTAGCTCCAAGATGTGAAGAGAAGTCGCCCAACAGGCTTCAAGACAGTGAATGCTGTTGAAGGAGTGGTCGAGCTCATCAGACATCGTTCAAGTTGAAATTATCCAACCCAGCCTCGCCCTTGATCGTGTCCCAGATTCCGTTGATGTCTCTCACCACCTCATCCGGGAGAGGCCCGCTCTTTAGCCCGGTGAGTGTTTTCCGCAGCTGGTCCAGGGTCCTCGCACCAACTATGATCCCATCGCCCAGCTCAGGCTTCAAGCCGCTATGATACGAAACCCATCGATATGCCAGCTCGGCCTTTGGGAGACCGCTCTTAGCGCTGATATCCTCCCAATTTTTCAATGCCGCCAGAAACGAGGGCTTGCTGTAAAGCGTAGAGTACATCTTTCCTATGTGGGTGTCAGGATTGAACCTTCCAGCCCCCTCCTCGATGTCCCTTGCCGTCTTGGTCAGGAAGCCGCCACCCAGGGGGGAGTAGGCGTTGAAGGAGATGCCGTGCTTGCGCAGGGTGGGGAACAGCTCTTCCTCTTGCCTTCGGGCTATGGCGGAATAGTTGCCTTGGTACACCGTTGGGACGACGAAGCCATTTGCCTTGGCCACGCGGATCACGTCCTCGACCTCACTGGCTAGAAAATTAGACAAGCCGAAGTGCTCGAAGCGACCCTGCTTGTATAATTCGTTGATACCTTCCAAGGTCTGCTCCAGCGGTGTTTTCCGATCAGGTGCATGTATGTAGTAAACATCGACCTGGAGGCCATATTAGATTGACCAGCAGAATTCCTCGAGGGAGCGAGCATACCTTGTCTGTTTTTAGCAGACCGAAGCTAATGTCCGCGACCTCAAGCACGTTCTCCTTGGTTGCGTTGGTGGTTTCGGCGGTTCCTCCCGGATGCTTTGTGTCGATCTTGAACTTGGCCGCCACGCCTCGCTGTCCGATGAGCTCCTCGCTTTGCAGGTAGATGCGAGCGGAATCGATCTTGTCGACGCCAAACTCTTGGAGGACCTCGGCCACTTTTGGTCCGTCTGTCTCGCTGCGCCAACTGCCTGCGTTGCCCGCGCCGTAGATGACACGGAGACCCGGCATTGTTTATGATAACACGTAGGTATGATTGAGTGGCGTTTCCTTCATCAAACAGATGGAATGGCTAGATTTTATTCATTCTTCCAAGCTCAATATATCAGTATGTGTGACAGATGTTGATGCGCCGAGAAGCGGCGTTAAATTGCTCAAGAATGAGTCAAAATGAGTTCAGCTCCACATACGAGATGACGCCCTCCAGCCTACATGCAGGTGATCGGTTGAGGCTGGAGATTGGTAATCAGGTGTTGTCACTATCATGGCCGGATATAAGGCACGCAGTCGATTCACAATGACGCGATCAGATAAACTCAGATAAGAGGAGGGACGACACCAATAACGAACTGAGGAGTGACATATCAGACATGTTATGGATCCATCTAATCGGCCGTGTTGCCGAAGACTCTTCGTTGCTCCAATCAACGTCAATAAGAGTCCCCCGGCTTGTTGAACGGAGTGATTGGGATGTAAAGGTGCAACATGTGCTTCCAACGTCTTAGGTTATACCGAACTATGCAACTATATAAGGAGGACCAGCAGCCACCAAGGACAAGATGTGAACACGCTCGGGCAGGGGGACGATTAATATCTAGGCTCATCATTCGTATCTAAGGTATATATATCATTATTAATTATTATCCCATCTCGGGGCATTGATAATCAGCGACATTAGAGACCCGCTCATAAACGCCGTACAAGGCAGTGTGATGATCCAACCGCCATATATCCACGCAACCAGACGCAGGTTGATACATCGCCAATCGCCATTGGCGAGTCCGACGCCGACCAGGGAGCCGGCAATACATTGAGTCTAACGAAACACGCATCAGTATCACCCAAGACGCGAGGGGAGCACCAAAGAAGAGGGTTACTTACAGTAGACACAGGCAACGACAGCCGCGTTGCAATCAGAATCGTCATGGCGCTCGCCAGTTCCATGCAGAAACCGCGGCTCGGCGATATCAGCGTCAGCCGATTCCCCATGTTCCTCATAACATGGTACCCGTACGTCAACAACCCAATCACGATACCGCAACCACCCATGGCCAGGATCCAGAGCGGCACGCCCACCTGGCTGGGGATCTCCCCCGTGCTCCAGACATGGTACGCTGACGTGAACGGCCCAATCGAGTTGCTGACGTCGTTGGCGCCGTGGATGAAGCTGGCCGTAGCCGCCGTGAGGATCTGCAGCGCCGAGTACATGTACTCTGCCCTGTTGTCATAGTGCGCGGCGCGGGCATGCATGTCGTCGAGGTTCCAGGACAGGACGGCGTTGCGCTTCTGCATCATGATGACATCCTTCTCCAGACCGCGCAGCAGGACTCGGTTCACGTACCAGATGAGGACGTGGACGGTGTACCAGGGGCCCGGGGGCTTCGGGGGGATCAGCTCGTCGTTGACCGTTCTCGATCCGTCCCTCTCCTCTTCACGGACTACAGGTGGAGGCTCTGTGACACTGATGGCCGGTGGTGGAAGGATCTGTATCTCGTCATTGTTGTCGTCCTTGTCCAAGGTCGACGGCAAGTTGGGCGAGTTCTGGACCGACTGCATCAACGTCTCCGACCGCCGGATCTGGTTCAGCTCGTCACGGGTGAGGTGGCCCCGATAATAGTTCTTGACATTGCCCCTCGAAACATTTCGCGGCGGAGGGGGCGGAGGGGGTCGTCCCAGCAGCCACGGCCCTTGCCAG